CAACTGGATCACACTTGAACTCTACATTATGTCCTAAAAGACCGATACAATCCGGTAGCTTCAAACATATTCATCAGTAAAAGTTAAGTCAATCTCACAGGCGCCATCTTGATTTCTTTTTAGTCCCCAGATTTCACTCGATCACAATTCAGTTAAGGACGGGGAGGGGGTGGGGGGAGAGTAGTTTATCTTGGTTTGTACTCATTGTAGCAACATGGTAACATAATGACAGATATAACTAGAGACGAAAGGGGCGAAAAACTATTTTTCTCAGCACAATTAATATTTACAAAATTGTATGCTACATGTCGTATGTGAATACAATACTGCGTATGTGAATACATATCACAGGCGACCCACGCTCTTATTTGTAAACTGCAAATGGAAATTAAATAAGAGAAAATCTTACCGTTTTGTTTTATTCTTGAATCTGGTGTGGTGCGAAATGAAATGGCAGTTGTTTTACGATGCGAAAACTATATTCAAGTCGAAGCTTTAACCGTTCTTGATTTCACAATGCTTATGTGGTCATGCGCCGATTGTTATTATCGTCTGGCGTTTCATCTTTGGTTATTGTTAATGAATTAATAACCAACAGTGAAATGAGAGCCAAACCAAACTAAAGCATTGTGAAATCAACAACTTAAAGCGTCGACTTGAAAATAGTTTTCTCATTGTAAAACAACTTCCATTTCACTTCGCACCACAGCAGATTCAAGAATAGAACAAAACAGTTAGTTGCCTACAAGGTCGACTCGATGGCCTCTTTGTATAATATTCGCTCTGTAGCCTTATTTGCTTTGCTAGCTTTGGCTGCCTTTCTCAGATTTGATGAGCTTGCTAAGCTTGTTCGTTCTGATGTCTCGATCGAAAGTGACATGTTGAAGTTATTTATTCAATTAAGTAAAACTGATCGGTACAGGGATGGGGCTTGGATTGTTTTACTTTCTTCTGGGAAAGTAACTCGTCCGGTTGCTATGATGAAAAGATATTTAAAAAAGACTGGGCTTTCCTACCACAGCCCTCTTTTTTGTCAGCTTTCAAAAACTAAATGTGGCTATAAGCCTAGATCTAAAGGTTTATTCGCGTTTAAGGGAGTTGGTTGTAGAGGCATTAAAAGACATTGTGCCTGATCTTGACTCTATAGGTACGCCTAGTGTAAGAAGTGCCGGGGCTACTGCTGCCGCCAATGCTGCAGTCCCAGATCCCCTTTTTAAGTGGCATTGGTCAAGTGAATCAACTAGAACAGTTATGTCAAAGTTTCTCTTCCCTCGCGTTTGTCTATATCTAAGGCTTTAGGTATTTAGTTTTCGCCTATTTAGTTTTTCTTTTATTCTGAAATCTCTTTGGTTGGTCTTGCCCGGGGAATCGTTGTTTATAGGGTACAGTTGGCCTGGGGTTTCTCTCCTAGGTATAGGTGGACGTACGGGGAGGTTTCTCACACAGCTGTTGTTCCGCGACCCCATCACTAGTTAGCTTGCGATCGAGACCTTAATTTGGGGCTTATGTTACGAAGGAACGCTTGGCTTGAAGCGAGCCGCACCCAGGGTTGTTGTTGGATCAAACTACGATTTAGAGGAGAGCTGAAATTGTTAGAACCAATGCAAAAATGGCTGCTAGATCAATATTCTTTTGTTTTGTACTAAAATTAGCCTGACTAGCCTCGTTCTCCAGTATAAAATTCAAAAGAACACATTATCCCAAGCGAATATTAATCCGGCAACACAAGGGGCACACATACACCAACCCACGGCCTGGCCACTACCTCACGCATGCGCACAGCCATATCACCCGCGGTAGCCATGGACAGCTGTTTCGCTCTTATTGGGTCTCTTCAGCGTTAAATTAAATTAGCATTAAATGAAATTGAATAAGAGCGATGAAGTTTGAAATGGTTCGAATTCTCTTTTTAAGTGAATTTCCGGTTTGTTGTCATCCCAAAATTTTGCTACCATGACAACGTGACGTAACGACTTCTCCTCTGTATTTTAAAAAGAGGATTCTTGACTCTACACTCCCAAAATTCTCTGATTTGTTAAATTGGTGGGGTTACTATAACGAAGAGTGGCAGTCCTGTGCTGGTCCCGACAAAACTAAGGGGAACGTTTCGCTTTTTGCTCTGATCTGTAAATACTTAGACAATTGATCTAAGTATAAGGACAAAAAACTGTCGACTGTTCCTAACTATACTTCCACTTAATTTGACGCTATTGGATTTACAACAACCATTTGGGATGTAAATGTAGACATTCACTTTAGAGAGAATTAATGATCATTCATAACTCACCACTAATGGCAAAGTCTCTAATATTCTGGCTCTCAGTGGCTCATCTCTAAAGAGAAGAGATATTTACATTAAATTCAAACAATCGCTGGACAGAAAGCCAAGAAGCTGAGCAAACTGAGAAAGTTCCACCTGCGCTTTTAATCAATTTTATGTCAAAGGACGTTTGAGGTGTTGGAAAATTGCACGTACAAGAAACCCTACTCAAATTTCAAAATGGAGGTAACAAATTTACATCAAGAAAGAATCTACAAAACGATAGAACAACTTTATTGTTCCGAGGAACTGACGTCCGGAAAGGTGAACGGACATTTAATATTTCTGTCTGTGCTAAGTATCTTTCTGTCCATTTCCGCATCTCTGGGGAATACTCTGATTCTAGCTGCACTGCGCAAGGAATCATCACTTCATCCGCCGTCCAAACTCCTTTATCGTAACCTAGCTATAACTGATTTTTGTGTTGGTGTCATCTTGGAACCTCTTATGGTGGCTTATTGGATATCTGAGGCGACAGAAAGATGGGATATTTGTCGCTACGTCTTCGTATCATCATATGTCATAGGATATGTTCTTTTTGCAGTGTCCTTAACGACGATAACTTTAGTAAGCTTAGACAGACTTCTCGCCCTGTTGCTAGGGCTCAGATACAGACAAGTTGTAACTTTGAAGAGAACATACTTAACGATAATAGTCTTTTGGGCTATCTCCATCGTCGCTGCAACAATGTACTTTGTGAACCCATTTGTAACTACCTGGATTGGCAATATAGGTATAATACTCTTCTTGATCACATCAATCTTGTCTTATACCAAAATTTTCATTACTCTGCGTAAAAACCAAATTCAGCCACTGGAACATGACTCAAAAGCACAGACAACCCAACCAACGTCAATGAACATGGTTCGATACAGAAAGGCAGTATCCAGTGCACTGTGGATACAAGTAACATTAGTTGTTTGTTATCTGCCGTATGTTGTTGCGGTAGTCTTAACGCCTAAAAGAGAATTACCTTTGCCGTATTACCTTGCTCGACAATTTGGGGTTACTGTTATTTACTTAAACTCAACATTAAACCCATTCTTATATTGCTGGAAAATCAAAGAAGTCAGACTAGCAGTGAAAGACACACTCAGACAAGTTTCCTGTTCGTCGGTTTAATTCATTTGGCAGAAAGACGTGAGACTATTAATATATTATTGTTGCTATAAGGGAAGAATTTGCAAGCGAGTTGGTTCGAAAAGCCACACCAAAAAAATGGCCTTGAAAATTCAGAACAATTTTACTCCGTGTGCAAAATACGGATACGGAAAAACGCAGTGAGAGCAAAATACAGTCAAAATGTATAAATGAAAACTGGTTAAACCCGTTACGTTTTTATTTTTTTTCTTTTGACTGGTTGGTTCTATCAAAAATAAGAAAAACACGCCCAATTGCTTCAAAAGAAGGTGAACCTGGCTTTCTCACTGACAATGAAGAAACTGTTGTGACTGTTGGGAACGATCCAGCGTTCAAATATCTGTTGATAATCCCCTATTCTAAAAAAGGCTCCTGTTGCCAGGCATGTTTTGAAAATTGGTTGAACTTATGCTACCTTTAATTTTTTCACGTTTGTCAAAACTACATCCCAAAGGAGTTGAAATCCGTGCAGTCATAGTGCCCACCGAACGATCAAGCGACGAGAGTAAGTTACACTCACTGATTTCAGTAGACAATAAAAAAAATTAACATGTTTAACAAAATGACTTAAGATAATTACTTAACCAGCTAAAAAACACATCAAGAAATTTCCATAACGACAAAGTTGAAAAGGATGAATTGTGGGAAACTACACGAGATATTGTTGACAAAGCCTATAATCCATTGGACCAAAAAACACATAAAGCCATGTTCGGTAGAATGAGGAAGATTATACGAAGAACTGAGAGATCTTTTAGTAAAACACATTCAGGCGGAGACGTCGAATAGTCATGACGACGACTTTGTTTGGCAAACATAAAGATGAGAGTTTACTCAGAAAAAAGTGGGCTTTCTAAAGACAGGTGCAGGCTGGAATTATATTCCCGTGGGGAGTACTCCGGTTTTCAAGTGACTGGGATAATTGAAGGTTTGTTTTCGATAACGAAATTTTTTTTGGTAGGAAATTTTGGTAAGTTTTTTTGGGGTGGCTTGATTTAAGTAGGGATTTTTTTAGTATTCAAAATAATCTGAAGATTCAGTGGTAGTGCCCGCAGATCTTGGCCGCGCAGTTCTGCGAATAAAGTACAACCAAACTTGTCTTAAAAAACTTCATTTTTCGTGTTATATCATTTAATGCTCGCTAGAAAGTTTTAAGGCCCGGAAAATTCGGCATGGGATTTTTGGGCGTTAATTTTTGGTCCAGGGTTTTTTGGGGGGGTTTTGTTGGAAGCCCTAGAGATTTTTTGGGGTTTTGATTTTTGCCCTCATTCGATCATCCCCGTCACTTGAAACTCGGATTCCTCCCCCCTGGGATTATATTAAACCATGTTATACAGCTACAATCATGATAAAAAGGTACAAATCTGCACAGTTTTTGCAGAAATTTCTACTAATTAAATTGAGATAATTTGTTCCAATCTCCCACCCCCCCCAGTTTATGTCAAACACCCACACCCAATTGCCGGTCATACACCTAGCTTCCTGCCTTTCAGGGTACATACCGTAAAATACCGTTTATAACCCTTTGGTTTATGTATCTTCGTAAGGGATGTTAGGATGACTTATAAACGAAGGGGCTAATATCCGAGAGGACTTATAAACGAAGGGACTTATATCCGAGGGGACTTATAAACGAAGGGGCTAATATCCGAGGGGACTTATAAACGAAGGGGCTAATATCCGAGGGGACTTATAAACGAAGGGGCTTATATCCGAGGGGGCTTATAAACGAAGGGGCTTATATCCGACGGGACTTACAACAGTGTTACAACCGGAATAGAAAAAGCGATTTGAAACAAGCCACTATAGCAGTGCTGATCAAAATACGTTTTGAATTTACTGGTTTTGAGTTAAGCTTCGAAAAGTCATAATAAATCAAATTCACTTCAGTACTTTTGGAGGGGGGCTTATATCTGGGGGGGTCATAATCAGATGCATTTTTGTTGTTGTTTACAGGTAGATGGGCCAATAACTGGAAGGACTTATAAGTGGGGAAGCTTATAAAAAAAATGGTATTTTACGGATCGAAAGCCAAGTCAAATACCGCGAGATTGCCCAAGGGGATAAATGCTGATATTTCTGTTTAATTGATATTCGTTATTAAAAAGATAAAGTTTGATAGAAATATGATGGTGCATTTTAAGCCTGGTGAGTACATGAGAAAGATTTTTTTCAGTCAGTGACACAGAGGGCCCGAAGTACCGAGTACCCCCAATAACCGTAGGACCGTAGCAAGCCTTGAGAAACTCGGGGGGGGGGGGGGCCAAGTAGTGTATATATTGTATAGTGTTACTTATGGGGATGGGATAAGAGTGATATTTGTTCCACGGGGAGAGAAGGCGGGGGACCCAAACGCGCCACAACCGACAGCCGGGGGAGGCGGAGGGGGGGGGGGGGGGGGGGGGGGGGGGGGGGGGGCACAAAGAGTTTAGCTAGCTCATTGTATTTGAAAAGGAGAGGGTATTGGGTGCGGATGAGCCATTGGACTGGTCTCTGTTTCTTAAAACCAGAAAATGTTTCACCTAGCTGCAGAAACATCATTGTTTCAATGCTCTGGAAGATGAATTTTTATATTCAACTTTGATACGTGCATGTTTTGACTTGTTGTCGCCAAAAACTGTCGGGGGGAGGTACGGGTCCCCCCGGTCCTTTCCCATGCTACGGCCCCGAATATTAGTCGAATCCGGCCTATGACCTGGTTACCAGTCCAGATTCTTACCACTGAGCTACAAGCTTCATAGCTACAGCCTGCATAGACTTTTTTTCAGAGCCACCTGCGTCACTGACTGAAAAATATCTTTCTCACGTAATAACCAAGCTATCGTGAATTGTAATAAAACCTTGTGGTAATTTGTGATGAGCCGAGCTACCGTAAATTGTAATAACGGTTTGTTTTATTTTGAGATAAACCCTAATGCAATTTTAAGTTTCCTTCATTCTATGATTATTACTACATATAAGTAGGTAAACTATTACCTGTGTCTTGTCAGTTTTCAAGCTGAACGATCACATTGCAACAAAATGGTGTTGTAAAACTTTACTTTAGACGAAAACCAGAAACTGAACAAGCAACTATATTGCTCAGCAGAAATAACTGGATGAGTTAAGATATATCCTTTTTTGCCAGAATAAAACAGAACAATTCTTGATCACCAACATAATTTCCACCGAGGTATTATAGTTAACATGACCTTGAGGTAATTTGTTCAAATCCACCACGCCTCGCAGGTTAATTCAAATGCTACACCCTAATACCAGCCACAATAATAATCAACTTCCCGCCTTAATGGCTGGCACTAACATTTCCAAACAAAAGCACAGAAACGAAATAAAAATTGATAACAAATAACCTCCCCTAAAGAATTAAACGCCATCTGATAAAGTCAATTGACCAATTTCGATATATTTAGCAATTATTGAATTCTGTATTTATAATAGTATGAAGTGAAGATCGCAATTATGCAGATCGAAGAGGAGTCCGAGAATTGGGAGCGAAAGGCCTGGGTTCGATTCCTTTCCAGACAAGGCTAGTCTTCTGGGTTAAGGACAAAAAATTGTGGGTAAAATAATCTGAAGATTCAGTGGTAGTGCCCGCGTATCCCGACCGCGCAGTTCTGCGAATAAAGTACAACCAACAAACTTGTCTTAAAAAACTTCATTTTTCGTGTTATATCATTTAATGCTCTCTAGAAACTTTTAACGCTCGGAATTCGGCATGGGATTTTTGGGGATTAATATTCGGTCCAGGGATTTTTGGGGGAGTTTTGTTGGAAGCCCTACAGATTTTTTTGGGTTTTGATTTTTGCCCCCATTCGATTATCCCCGTCACTTGAAACTCGGAGTACTCCCCCACCCTGGGATTATATTAAATTAAGTTATACAGCTACAATCATGAACAAAAGGTACAAATCTGCACAGTTTTTGCCAAAATTTTTACTAATTAAATTGAGATAATTTGTTCAAATCTCCCACCCCTCCCAGTTTACGTTAACCACCCACAGCCAATTGCCGGTCATTACTTAGCTTCTTGCCTTTCAGGGTAGATACTGTAAAACACGGTTTAAAACCCTTAGGCTTATATATCTTCGTATAAACGAAGGGGCTTATATGCAAGGGGGCTGGTAACCGGAATAGAAAAAGCACTTCGAAACAAGCCGCTATAGCACTGCTGATCAAAATACGTTTTGCATTTACTTGTTTTGAATTAAGCTTCGAAATGTTATACAGTGAAACCTCTATTAAGCGGACACCTTCGGGACCTTCCCAAGTGTCCGCTTGATAGAGGTTTGTATTTATTGCGCAATGTTTGTGAACGATCAACATTCAGCTGTTATTCTGTACTGTGATAAAGTTCCACGTTGTTAAGGAAGCTATCCAGAGTTCAAGTCCATTTCCTTTCATTATCAACGTTAATTTGTTTGTAAATGCAAAAACATTAACCTATTACAATTTACATTATGTCAAACAATCGCTGAGCAGGAAACTTAAACAAACCCAGAACGTTCCACCTGCGCTGTTAGTCAATTTTATGTCAAAGGACGTTTGAGGTGTTGGACAGTTGCTCGTTCAAAAAAACCTACTCAAACTGTAGCAAAATGGTGCCAACAAACTTAACTGGAGAAGGAATCTACAAAACGTTCGAACAACTTTATTGTTCCAAAGAACTGGCGGCCGGAAAGGTGAAAAATAATTTAATAATTTTGTGTGTGATAAATATATTCCTGTCCACTACCGCATCTCTGGGGAACACTCTGATTCTAGTTGCTCTGCGCAAGGAAACTTCACTTCATCCGTCGTCCAAACTCCTTTATCGTAACCTAGCGATTACTGATCTCTGTGTTGGTATCATCGTGGAGCCTGTTATTGTTTTTTACTGGACATCGCAGGCGATGGAACGATGGGATATTTGTCGCTACGTTGTTGTTTCAAAGTATGTGATCGGCTATATTCTGTGTTCAGTATCTTTGATGACAGTTACTGCATTAAGCGTGGACAGACTTCTCGCCTTGTTGCTGGGTCTCAGATATAGACAAGTTGTAACTTTGAAAAGATCATACGCAATCATAACCATCCTTTGGGTTAGCGCCACTGTCGCTGGAACAATCTACGTTGTGAACCCATTTGTAACTCGCTGGATCGGTAACGTAGCTATAATACTCTGTTTGATCACTTCGATCTTCTCGTATTCTATCATTTTCTTTACTCTTCGTAACTACCAAATTAAGCCACAGGAACACGTCTCGCAAGCACCGTCACCTCAAGCTATTCCACTGAACATGGCTCGATACAGAAAGGCAGTATCCAGTGCATTATGGGTGGAAATAACATTAGTTGTTTGTTATCTGCCGTATGTTGTTGCCGTACTCTTAACGCCTAAACGAGAATTATCTTTGCCACATTACCTTGCTAGACAATTTGGGATTACCGTCATGCACCTAAACTCGTCGTTAAACCCGTTGTTGTACTGCTGGAAGATCAAAGAAGTTAGGAAAGTGGTGAAAGGCACTCTAAGACATATTTTCTGTTCGTTTGTTTAATTTCTGTGCTTTCATATTCTTATCATTCCTTTAAGCTGATCTTCCCCTGCGTTTCTTATGTTCTTTTTCTTTTTCTTTTCTATAAATTTTTTTTTCCGAGCGTTATATCTTTTATTAATGAGAAAACGATGCCACGTAGATTCTCTTCTTTATATGTAGGTTTTTATTATTTTTAGGTTTATTGAGGCTAGAAATAAGTGCTATTTAGTAAAGCATTCCATAATTTTTGCTTGGTATGTGTAGTACAAGTAAAGATTTTAGAGTTTCCCTCGATTATGTCTCTTACTTCCTTAGCATCCACAAAGCGGAACTTTTTTTATCCGTTAGCAGGTGGGAGAATGCGTAATCCTTTTTCGGAAAAGTTACGTTGAAAGACTTTTATTTGCAATTTTATTTCCCTTTCTGCAACTCAAAGGGGCAAATCTGCTAGAAAAGCGAAACCCAAGGAAGCCCCGAAGAATACAAGTGACAATGTTAGTCAATCTTTATACAGCCTTTATTTCAATAAATGTAAATTACGTAAAGACATTTGACAGTACCGTATTCATAACTCATCACTCCACTAATTCTTAACTGCGCCAGTTTCTAGTCCTCTTATTGTTGTAAATTATCCCTGAAAGACCCTCAGCGACTAAATAGTAAGATACTAGCATATTATGCCTGGTATTCGTTGGTTCAGTAGAAAAACCAATTAAAAAGACTAACAACCTCCTCGAAACCCGGCTATGCGCCTTAAGATTTAGCATTGCGGTTAAATAGGCTCTCAATATTAGAAAATAAAACAGCTGCTGTTATTAGAAAACCACACGGCTTACTCAAAACGCAACAACAGGATGTTAACAAACTCAACTGGAGAAGAAAACCCTAAAACAAATGAACAACTATATTGCTTAGCAGAGTTAACTGGAAGGGTACACATCCATTTAATATTTCTTGCTGTGATAAATATATTCCTGTCCATTACCGCATTCCTGGGAAACACTCTGATTCTAGTTGCTCTGCGCAAGAAATCTTTACTTCATCCGCCGTCCAAACTCCTGTATCGTAACCTAGCGATAACTGATCTCTGTGTTGGTATCATCGTGCAACCTTTTAGCGCTGCTTATTGGATATCTGAGGCGATGGAACGATGGGATATTTGTTTCTACGCCCTACACTTATCATCTATGATAAGCAGTGTTCTGTGCTCAGTGTCTTTACTGACATTAACTGCAATAAGCATTGATAGACTTCTCGCCCTGTTACTGGGGCTCAGATACAGACAGATCGTAACTTTGAAGAAAACATATGTTGTTATGCTAATACTCTGGGTCTGCTCCATTATCGCTGCAACTATGTACATTGTGAACGCGCTTGTAACTTCCTGGTGGGCCAACATGGTTACATTTCTATGTCTCGTCACCTCGATCTTCTCGTATACCAAGATTTTCCTGACTCTGCGTTACAATTCAATTCAGCCACATGAACAAACCTCGCAAGCACAGTCAACCCAAGCAACTCCAATGAACATGGCTCGATACAGAAAGGCAGTATCAAGTGCATTGTGGATACAAGTAACATTGGTTGTTTGTTATCTTCCCTACGCTGTCGCGGTATTTCTAACACCTCAAGGGAAATTAACTTTACATAATTACCTTTCTCGACAATTTGGGTTTACGGTCATTTGCTTAAACTCGTCATTAAACCCGTTGTTGTACTGCTGGAAGATCAGAGAAGTCAGACAAGCGGTAAAACAGGTGAAAGAGACCCTCAGACAAATTTGCTGTTCGTTGGTCTAATTTCTGTGCAACCATACTCAATTTAAACTTATTAGAGGGTAAATATTTTCCTCTCTTGCCTTTTTTTATTTATTTTTTTTTGCATGACTTTTGTACTTTTATTTATTTATTTATCTATTTATTTATGATGTGCGTGAAACTTATCTGTTTTGATTTACAATAGAATCTTGGAACAAAATGCCGGTAAAAAAACATACGATGCTTTAGTCGATTCTCTCTTCCAACTGTATTTTAGCTTTGTTCTGTTTATCGAAGCAAGAATTTAGTGTTTTTAAGATAAAGATTCAATAATATGTGCCTCAATTGTGTGCTAAAGTTAGAGCGCTGAAAAACGCCAGTAATGAAAAAAGAACAATGTCCCTCGATTATGTTTCCTTCTTTGTAACATTTAAAACATTTTTAACACTGACATGAACAGTGGCCCTTTCAAACAACTGATTAATTAAAACGATGCTTATATCGATTCTCTCTTAAGTTTTTTATGCTTATTACGCGTTCTTTAGTTAAAAAAACAATAATTTGTGCTGTTAAAAGATAATAGGCTCCTTCGATTATGTCTTCTTCATCCTCATTATCCACAAAGCGGAATTTTTCAATCCGTTAGCAGGTGCGAGAATGAGTAATCCTTCTTTCAGAAAAGTTTTTCAGGAAATTCTTTTTAAAATTTATATTCTGTTACTCAAAGGCAAATTTGCGAGTAAGTAACTAAGAAAAGCAAAACCCACGAAGGACCCGAAGAATGCACAAGTGACAAATTTAGTCTAGTGTTTATTTCAATATTTAAAAAATGGAAAAGACGTCAAGCGGCAGTGTGAGCTAAAGAAGAGTGGTTAAAATTGTGACGTTTTAATTGCTTTTTTGCCGTTGATTACTTAATTTCCATAAAAATAAAAATCAGCTCTAATTACCTCAGTAGCAGGTGACACTGAAGATACACAACTATCCATTCAAATATTTGCTCCCTACTCCAAAACATCTTCAATCGTCATGTTTTCAAAATTGGTTGAATTCATAGGTCGAATTTATAAGCCGCCCGCCATTTTTCTTACTACTACTAAAATACTGTATATCCCTACTCGTTCTTTTTTCGCCTTCCTTCCAGCTGAGATTGAATTTGAAATAATGTCGTTACCAAATAAAAAAAGTTATGGGTTATATTTTTGTCCAACTTTGTTTCTAAAATGCACCAGAAGTGCTTTTAGTAGTCCGCTGGCAGAAATATTGAATTTTTCCATTCATTTGGGAAAATATTATTCCAAACTGAAATTTGAGAAAGTGGTCCCTTTTTTCAAGGAGGGCAATGATACTGATCTCAACAGTCAAAGACCTATTTCCCTCTTACCCAATTTTAATAGAATCTTTGAAAAATTGATGTACAAACGACTTGAATCTTAGTTTAGTAAATTTGATCTTAAACTCTTGCCTGGACGGTTTTTGTCGCAGACATGCTACACATAATGCAACTTTGGATATTAATAGCACCATCCAACCTAACATGAATAACAAATTATTCTCGTGTGGCATCTTTATTGATCTTAAAAAAGCTTTCGACACTGTATACTATAATATGCTTTAAAACAATCTGGAACACTATGATATAATAAGAGATATATACTCGTATAGCACATGGTCAGCTGCCGCCGGTAATTTCTACATTAAACACTCAAGATTAGAAATACAAAAGTCTTCCTTTTCAAAGCCTTCATTCACCTTCATCCACCTTCATCTACCTCCATTAGCCTTCATCCAATGTCATCTACATTCATTAGCCTTCTTTTACCTTCACCCGCCTACATCTACCACCATTTAATAGTCAGTATCGTGCCGTCTCATTATTCATTTCTGACTATTGGCTCTCTTGTCCTTTAATCTGCAGACATTATACATCACATTCAAAAATAATTTTGCGTTTTATCGTGTTTTACATTGTTTTGTTACATAAAGGCGGATGAAGAAGGCTAATGGAGGTAGATGAAGTTAAATGAGGGCTAATGGAGGGAGACGAAAGTGGATGAAGGTGGATAACCGCTAATGGAAATAGATGAACGAAGGGGATTCAGAAGGTAAAGGAAGGCTAATGGGGGCCGATAGATGAAGTGGATGAAGGTGGAAGTAAAGTAATGGGGCTGGATCAAGGTAAATCCGGAGGGCCTACCGTATGTAGACAGATGAATTGAAAGTCAATGACGTAGAATGAGTGTGAATGAAGGTAAATGAAGTTGAATGAATTAGAATGAAGGTGAATGAAAATAAATGAAGGCGAATGAAGGTTAATGAAAGCGAAAAGTGAAAGGTGTATGAAGGAAAATGAGGGGGAAGAAGGTAAATGAAAGAGAAGGGATGAAAGTGAAGGAAATGTAGACTAGACAAAGATGGATGATATAGACACGCGGTCAGCACGGTTAGCAATGTTCTTTCAAAAGGCTCAGAGCCATTCCATAATAGCTAGTGCCATGGTTCGAAGAAGGCATGTTGGAAATAGAAGTCTGCAAGTCATTATGGGAAATGAGCGGGAAATGGGCCACGTGGTCACTTGTTATACAACCAAATTAGGTAAATAACCATTTCTGTATTAAATAACAGTTTTGCACATTTTTGGATTTTTAATCGTCCATGATTGTTTATTTACTGAATAACCAATTGTCTAGTTTGTTTATAAATAACCAATTTTCTATTCTGCCTTCATTTTGGTTATTTAATAAGTAACCAATTTCACCAATCTCACATTTTGGTTATTTAACAAATAACCAATTAATTTTTCATTTCGGTTATTTAGAAATAACCACCTTTTAACTTTTGGTTATTTGCTAAATAACCAAATTTCAGTTTTGGTTATTTGTATTAAAATAACCAATTTTATATTTTGGTTATTTAGAAATAATAAAACTGTAATGTGGTTATTTGTGAATAACTAGCCTTGTTTTGGTTATATACAAATAACCACTCTAAATAATAAAAATACATTTGGCGCCCCATACAGTGTGGCAGGAAGTTGATTATTATTTGGTTTGTATTAGGGTGTGACATTCGAATTTACTTGCGAAGGGTTGTGGATTTGAACAATTACTTCAAATTCGTGTTAACTATGATACCTCGGTGAAAGTTATGTTTCTTATCAAGAATTGGAGGCATCTAATAGACTATGAGAGGAATATGTGTTAACTTGGTTTGTAATACCACCTATGGTTAAAGCTTGCAATTGTGGATCTAGGCCGTTTAATTTAATTCCTACCTGCATCTGTCTTTTGAACTCCCACTTGCCAAAAGAAAATAGTTGGACATGAATATTTACTAACCGTCAATTACTGACAATCTCCTAACGTATTTGTTTCCCTAGTTTGGAAATTGCAGATAGGAAACCATTTTGTAGAACATGTGATTATTTTTTACGACTAACTCAGTTATGGGGCGCCATAACCACTTTTTAAGTTTTGGTTATTTGGTAAATAACCAAAAACAAAGTTAAAAGTGGTTATTTCTTGAATAACCAAAAAGAGAAATTGGTTATTTGAAAATGTGATATTGGTTAGTAGTGTAACCATTCTAAATATTTAAAATACATTTGGCGCCCCATATCACTGGCCACAAAACGCAAGTCAAATGCTTGGAGAAACTTAAAAAGATGAATTGCTAAATTAAACTTTTCTCTCCAGCAATTATATTGTTCAACTCATGGGGCCTAAGTCTACGTAATTACCGCGGTAATTTAGGTCTATTCTCTGCAACTAAATGAAGAAAAAAGGGAGGATTACGCTATTAAACTCTGAATTTTGGTTTTTTACATAACAATTCTGGGGACAGGATAGGACAGGCCATTAGCATTCACACGGTGAGTAAGGATCTTTTCAGTTGGGTGCTTGCTTTTCCTTTATTAATTTTCCAAGTTTTTTTATCTATATTTATTACCATAGGAGAGTCATTTCTCCCCGCCCGGCCCCGCCACGTCCAATCATAAAATATAGAAAAAAAACAAACAAACAGGAATGTAACACTGAAACTCTAGCATTGACCAACCCTAGTTTCTATCTCATTTCACATTCACATCAGACAGCATTAATAACTCATTAGTCTAATAATTGTAAAAAGCGCCACAAAGTCTCTCCCCCACTGTTGTAAATTATCCCTAAAAAGCCGAGGGGGATAGGTAAGAAGGTATTTAAATTATGTCAGCCGATCACTTGTAAATAGAAAAACAAACCGAAACCCATCTTCAATCTGCTCGAACCCGGCCGGGCCTTCGCCGCTCAAATGCGCTCAGATAGTTTGGCGATATAAGACAGCTCCTCTTATCAGAAAACCACACAGCTTACAAAACACGAGGCAACATGATGTTAACAAACTTAACTGGAGAAGGAAACAACAAAACGATCGCACAACAATATTGCTCAGCAGAATTAAGTGAAAAAGTACACACCCATTTAATTTTTCTGTCTGCGATAAATATCTTTCTGTCCATTACCGCATCTCTGGGGAATACGCTGATTCTAGTTGCTCTGCGCAAAGAATCTTCTCTTCATCCGCCGTCCAAACTCCTGTATCGTAACCTAGCGGTAACTGATCTCTGTGTTGGTATCATCATGGAGCCAATTACTGTTACATATTGGATATCTCACGCGATGGAACGGTCGGATTTTTGTCAATACGCCATATTTTTAGCATACGTAATAGGCCATGCTCTGTTTTTATTGACTTTGTTGACAATAACTGCAATAAGTATCGACAGACTTCTCGCCTTGTTGCTGGGGCTTAGATACAGACAAGTTGTAACTTTGAAAAGAATATACGTTGCTATAACCATCATTTGGGCTATCTCCATTGTCACTGGGACAATTTACAATGTGAACTCCCTTGTAGCCTTTTGGTGGTCGAACACAGTTAAATCACTGTGTCTCGTCACCTCAACCTTGTCTTACACGAAATTATTCCTAACTCTGCGTCACAACCAAATTCAGCCACAGGAAAACATCTCCCAAGCACAGTCAACCCAAGCAACTCCACTGAACATCGCTCGATACAGAAAGGCAGCATCAAGTGCATTGTGGATACAAGTAACAATAGTTGTTTGTTATCTGCCGTTTTTTGTTGCAGTATTTCTAACGCCTCATGGAGAGTTACCATTTCCAAATTACCTTGCTCGACAATTTGGGGTTACTATTTCATTCCTAAACTCGTCATTAAACCCGTTGTTGTGCTGCTGGAAAATCAAAGAAGTTAGACAAGCAGTGAAAGAAACACTCAGACAGGTTTACTGTTCGTTTGTTTAATTTCAGTATATTTCGTGCTGAATATAAAGTTATTATTCTGTAAAGCTTGTCCTTTCCAGTCTTTGTTCATTTTTTTTGTCATTTTGTTTTCACTTTTATCACTGTTTTTGCTTTGCGCTACCTGTTTTACAATTAGCATCAACGGTGAAACAGTTTGAGCTAAATGATTAAAAAACGACGTTTACGTCGATTCTTTCAGCAAATGTACATGTTTGAAGCGTTTTAAGTAACTATCCACAATGCGGAGTTTTCTTTCCGTTATAACACAGGTGCCAACAGATAATCCTTTTTGCAAAAAAATTAGGCGACACGACTTCTGCTAATAGGTTTTTTATTACTAAAAAGAAGCAAATTTGCAAGTGAGTTAGAAAAGTGACAAAAATGACAAATTTGGTTCGTCTTTAAACTGTGAACCGCTAATTGTTTTTGCGTTTTATTTCAATTCCACTAAATACTTAGTTTCCATATAAATTAAAAGTCGGCTCTAAATTGCTTCAGGGGAAACCTGTTAAGTTATGACTGTTGGGAACTATCCGTTCAAATAGCTGATGATAATTATCCTAAAACATCTTCAGTTGCCAGTCACGTCTCCTAATTGCGTAGAATTTGTCCTACTTTTAATTTTCTTTCGTTTGTGAAAATTAATCTTCCCAAGAAGCTGAAAGTTTAATAATAGCCGGCGTCAAACGAATGATGAAGCAATGGTGGACACCTTTGTATTTGCACGCTTGGCTCTGTCCCTTTAGTGCCGTGTAAAGAAGGTTTAACTATATACTTACAATAATATTTCCCTTAAAAATTTAACACTTATCTGGTTAGTTGGTTGGGTCATCAGAATGTGGAGCAAGCTAGGCTTGGGCTTGATTCCCCAAGGGTATAAAATAACTGAGGAGAAATTCATACATTTGTTTGATTTCCGCAACAAATGCTTAGACATTAGACATTCTAAACTATTCGAAGAAGTCTAAGGAACCATAGGCCCCATCTCAAGCTACGTGCAAACAAACGCAACAACTCCCAACATTGTTGGGCCAACAATGTTGGGACTTGTTGTGTCCGTGTTGGCAGTGCATCGTGGGAAAAAATGACCCAAAAGCCTTTGTAAACCATCTGTAATGCGCGTGCGTGGCCCAAACAATTTTGGAAGAGCTGTGCAAACGGATCCAACTGGCAATCATGGAACAGCAGAAATGTCGGGAGTCGTTGGTTCAAAAGTTTGACAAGTTTCAACATCGACACACAACATGTAATATCCAACAATGTTGAGTTCGTTTGCACGGAGCTTAACAGTACTTTCACTTAATCTGACTCTGTCAGCTCTGTGCATCACCTGTTAAATAATAGGAATTCCAGTGAGCCGGACTGGACTTCAAAATCCAACCCTGTTGGAGTTGTGTACCTTAAAAAAAAATCCGGGGTGAAGTTACAGCAACTGTGATATCTGTCGTTAGCTGTAATACCACTTGTCCAGGATTATAATAACCAAGCTAGCGTAAATTGTAACATAGCGTTATAGAAAGTAGTAATTTGTAATGAGCTGAACTGCCTTAAATTGAAATAACAACATTGTCTATAATTTTGTAATAAGCATCAATTTTTTTGTTCTATGATTATTATCAGATATTACGGTACATTACTGTTCACTAGACGCAAGAAAACCAAAATTAAACACAGCATAAAATTGCTCAGTGGAATTAACTGGAAAATTAAACAGCCTTAATTTCGTGATAAACATATTTCTGTCCATTACATGTACAACTGGGAATACCCCCGGTACAAAAACGGCAACATTAGGGAGTTTTAGCAACGACAACGGCGTCTTCAACGAGAACGGCAAAAAACAACTCTGTCCATGCATCACGCTTTTTTGTACGTTTCTTTGCCGTTGTTGCACGACTACGACGTGAAACTGCCTAACATCACGTTTTGTGGAGGCCGTTAACAGAAGACAACGATTTTACTTTTTTTTTCTGAACTTCGATAGTCTTTTAGAAGTCAACTCCAGAAAAATTAGCCAAATTTTGACGAATTCAACGGCCATGGAATAAACGCGATAAAGTTTGAAGCAGCGCGAGTTCAGTTTTTAAGTGACGTTTGTGTAGCCGTCGTCGTCGTCGCTGCTTCAGCTCAGAGGTGAACGGCACATCCGCCATCACGGCTGTTACTAAGACGTGCTCAGCGAAAAACGGGCGATCATGTTAGGTTTTGTTCCCATTAATATTGTCTAGTGTATCAGTAGTCTCTTGTCATAACTGTTGTCATTTATTATTAGTAATACTTTTAGTTTATCAGTAGTCTCTAGTCATTGTTGTCAATTTTAGTTTCTTTAGTTCACTTGTTGCTTTTAGCTGTATTTAGTTGTATTTATTTCCTGTCACATGACCCGCCTAGATTAGCTTAGCTACCCGCGGGCATGTTATTGTACTTTTACCTCACGAAAATAAAATAAAATGTATGTATGTATGTATATATGTCATTTTTTATTTTCCCGTTCCTCGTTCTCCGTTAAGTAACATCTCGCCATCACACAAGAGTCTAGGTACTTATTGCAACGGTGCGGTATTCCATAAAAGATGCTTGCGTTGTCAAACCTTTCCTGTTTCCTTCTGTGGGACTCGTATATTAATCTCCTCCTCTTGTTTCCATCCAGTTGTATTATTGCAATATTTTGTTGATTTTATTTTCCACACAACTGTTTCACCCAATACATTCCATGAGCAAATATTCTCCACATAGCAGACGTCGTCCGTCGAGTTGTCTTCTTGCTGTTTATAGCCAACAATTCGCCTATTTCTTCCTCGCGAGAGAAATGTTCCTGTACTCACTACCAAAACAACTCAACCTCGTCCCAAGGTCATCTCGGTTAACTGTTCATTTTTCTGGCAATTATGCTGCACAATTGACGTCATTTTTCACATATCGCAAAATTCTTCCAAATTTGGTCGACAATAGCTGGTTATAATGAATTATGCATGGGATATTAGCCAATCAGAAACGGAGAAATATTGTGAATGAACAATAATAGCATTTATTGGAGTAACGCAAGGCCACCTGTTCTTAGTTGGCAAAAAAGAAGATAAGAAAAAAAAATGCCTTTTTTTAGCTTACAAACAAGTGATACAGAGGATTATAATATATATAATATAGACCGCCCACTGTCCGCTAGTTAGAAAAATTAAAGACACAAAAAAGAAAGTAATTAGTTTCTCTCCATGCCAAAAAATATGACAATTTATTTCAACATCGTCCCAGTTCAAAATTTACGACTGTATTACATTCCAAGTGAAGCCGATTGCTTCCTTCTTTAGTAAGGAATGAAATCCAGCCCAACACGAATGACCGACCGTGTTTATTAATTTTAATCGTACAAAGTTGCATTGCTTACTTAAACATACAAAGGAAAATGTTGCCAATCTGATACCTAAAAAGATTGGCTTGATAATATTGCAAAAGTTTTTAGTACGCTTTGTAATAAAACGGCGATGTGGAATATCAAAGGTAAGGATGGAAAAGGACAAATGAAGAAGTGTTTTGCTTGGCAGATTTGACTAAACAAAAAAACTAATCACCTCGTTTTCGTCTTCCATAAACAGATTTTCAGTGCTCTTCCGATGAGAGCTTGGAAGGAGACGATACAAGGTTGGATTTTGGACAGCTGCCATTTACAGAACAAAGCAATTTGTTACACATTAGTAATACAAAAAGAATGGTTGCAGAATACGATACAGGAGGGAAATACATGAACTGCTTGAAAACGTTACCTGAAGAAGCACATAGCCATTTGATGTTTCTTTCAGTGCTAAATATATTTCTGTCCATTTCCGCAGCTCTGGGAAATATTCTGATTCTAGTTGCTTTGCGCAAGGAATCTTCACTTCATCCGCCGTCCAAACTTCTGTATCGTAATTTAGCGATAACTGATCTCTGCGTTGGTATCATCGTGGAGCCTGCCGCTAGTTTGTATTGGATATCTGAGGCGACAGAATGGTGGGATATTTGTCAGTTCGTCTTCGACTTGTCATCTGTCACGGGCTTTGTTCTGTGCTCAGTGTCTTTGATGACAGTAACTGCAGTAAGCATTGATAGACTTCTTGCACTGTTGCTGAAGCTCAGATACAGACAAGTTGTAACCTTAAGGAAAATATATGCCACATTAACAATTTTTTGGGTTGGCTCCATTATCCCTGGAACAGTGCACTCTGTGTACCCTCTTGCAACTTCCTGGTGGGGTAACATCGGTACATTATTGTGTCTCGTCTTCTCAACCTTGTCTTACACGAAAATATTTTTTACTCTGCGTCAAAACCAAATCCAGGCACAGAAACATGACTCGGAAGCACAGTCAACCCACTCAACTCCACTGAACATGGCTCGATACAGAAAGGCAGTATCAAGTGCTTTATGGGTACAACTGGCATTAGTTGCTTGTTATCTGCCGTATGTTGTTGCGGTAGCTATGACGCCCCATGGAGACTCTTTTCCATATTACCTTGCTAGACAATACGGGAGCATTTTTCTTTACTTAAACTCGTCGTTAAACCCGTTCTTATATTGCTGGAAGATCAAAGAAGTTAGACAAGCGGTGAAAGAAACACTCAGACAAGTTTGCTGTCCCTTAGTTTAAATTCTATGTCTCTCATACTGAATCATCATGCTTTTTTCTCTAATTTTCATTATCTTTTTAATCGTTTTTCTACTATTGTATCTGTCTTAATAGTTTTTAATTATAAAAGGTGACCCTTTTCCGTTTGGGAAACCTCACGCAGGTTATTAACATGCAAACTGCGTCGCAAGAGGTCGGGCACTGTTTTGAAGTAACGCCCTGAGGACATTTAGTGGATAATAAGATATTTACATTATGTCAACCAATCGCTTGTTAATTGGGCGTCGCCCAGCTCGCTTGTTTTGATTCAAAGTTGCAATAGGCACGCAATACGTGCGAACGTAAACAAGCCAAGCGACGCGTTTAGAACGTCCGCCGCGCGATCACGACACAGCATTTATCTTCGTTACACACTGGACAAAAGGACTAATGAACTAGCGATGGTGGTGAAAGACATTCGTGCGTTAAGGGACTCATTCGAGCCCTGATTGGATGAAGTGTGATGGAAATTTGCATGGACCGAGATTAAAAACTCTAGTGTTAAAAAATATAAGTCAGAACAGTTTAGAACTTGGAAGGACTTGGACAGAGAGACAATTTTCGTTTATTCGATTAATAGTTTTTGAATTCGCTTGGTAGTTTGTTTGTGAATTTGAATTCGGTCAAATTGTAAAATTCGTAGCTAAGAGTTTGTGTACAATTTTTGAATATAGTTCATTCTCGTGAACACACACCTCCTACAGATAACGCGCGGCAAACACTAAATCGGCAATATATAAATCAAACGTAAAGAAAAAAAAGGTACACTGAGTAAAACAAACTATTAAAAAATTCAAATTTAGAGGACGTAAAACCTGCTTTGCGCCATTTATAGATATTGCATTCACCACGTTAGAAACAAGAAGGAAACTGGAACCGAGATGCGTCCCGCAATCGTTTCTGGGATCGTTACTGGAGACACTGCGCATGTCAGCTCAGGCCTTTTCGTTTGCCAGTCCCTAGTAAAAGTCCCAGTAGTCTTTGTGAAAGTTAACTCGTCCCAGTTTCCTTCTGACTTCTCAAGTGGCGAATTCTGGTCAAACGAGTTTGCGACTCATAACATTCAGCTGCCCCTAACAGAAAACAAAACAGCTTACTCAAATTGCTGCTGAGCAACATGATGATTACAAATAATATAACCAGAGAAGAAAATCAAACAACGATCGAACAACAATACTGCTCAGCACAATTAGGTGGAAAGGTACACGGATATTTAATATTACTGTCTGTGATAGACACCTTCCTGTCCATTACCGCATTTCTAGAGAACATTCTGATTCTAGCAGCTCTGCGCAAGGAATGCTCACTTCATTTGCCGTCCAAACTCCTATTATGTAACTTAGTGATAACTGATCTCTGTGTTGGCACCATCGTGCAACCAGTTGCTGCTACTTATTGGATATCTGAGGTTATGAGGCGATCGAATATTTGTCACTACGCCCTAGGCTTTAGATATGTCACAGGCTTTGTTTTGTACGCAGTGTCTTTGATGACGATGACTTCAATAAGCGCGGACAGACTTCTCGCCTTGTTGCTTGGCCTCCGATAAAGACAAGTTGTAACATTGAAAAGAACATACATAACTATAACAATCCTTTGGGTTGGTTGTATCGTCGCTGGGACAATGTATTTTGTGAACCCCCTTGTAAATTCCTGGCTCGGCAACTTAGGTATACTACTCTGCATAGTCATCTCAATCGTTTCTTATTCAAAAATGTTCCTTACACTTCGTTACAACCACATTCAGCCACAGCAACGCATCTCGCAAGCACAGTCAACCCAAGCAACTCCACTGAACATGGCTCGATACAGAAAGGCAGTAACTAGTGCACTGTGGATACAAGCAACTTTGGTAGTTTGTTGTTTGCCTTATGTTTTTGCTTTTATTATAACACCTCAAGAAGACCCTTTACCCTATTTCATTGCTAGACAATTTGGGCTGGTATTTCTTTACCTAAACTCTTCATTAAACCCGTTGTTGTACTGCTGGAAAATCAAAGAAGTTAGACAAGCAGTAAAAGACACAATCAAACAAGTTCCCTGTTCGATCTTCTAATTTATACTCTTTTCATGCTGAGAATGTCCTTGTTATTTGTTAAGTTATCTTTTATTTGTTGCGTTTTAGAGATTTTGAACAGTGTTAACAGTGAACGACATTTAAGTTGATTCTCTTCAATCTCATTGTTGTTCATTTCATACAAAATATGAACCGTATTGATATAAAAAAGAGGTACTTAGAGCTGAAGCTAACTACACACATCGGAAACAGTCAGGCTCTTTTAACCCGAGACTAAAACCTCAGACCCAAGAAAAAGATATAACAACCAGCAAGCCTACAGAGGGTTTTTGACCCCTGACCCGCAGTCATCTTGGTCTTCTTTATAATAAAGGAAACGGTTGCATAAAAATAGAGTTCAGCTTAGTTTTCAGTGGACTGCTTTGGTTCTCCAACATGGTCGCCATCTGTTTGTTTACTCCTCCAACATGCCCGCCTTGCTCAACAAAATAATTTTTAAGAAGAAATTCAGGATATAAAAATTATAAGTTTTGCATCTGACTTGCAACCACTTTTTTTAACATAGTTTGTTTCGTACTTTCTTTAAAAATTAATAACGGGTTTGGTAATTACTATTTGTAAACCGAAAAGGGAAAATTATACAATATGTAATATTTTTAAAATTGCCTATCAGATGAGGAAACGGTATTGATTAGCGTTAATCAGGGAAACTCTACTGAGTCATACTCAGTTTACTTTCAGAGATGGTCTCATACTAACTGGAGTATCGTCATAATAAAGCCGATTTAAGAAAAATTTGAACTTCTTTATATTATTCAGAGTAGTGAAGGGATCACTTATCTAGGGAAACCTCAGGAAACGTCGTGTAAATTGCACCACAAGCAGTCGGGCACTGCTGTACAGTATGACTGAGGCGACTTCAGGTCATGTAGCGGATAATAGGATATTTACATTGTGTCATTCAATAGCTTGGTCAGTAGAAAAACATACTGAGCGATCGTAAAGCTTAAGCTGCGTGTTTTACAGGTATTGCATTGGGGTAAAGTGGGTCTGCGATATAAGACCCATATCCGACAGCTGTCCTTATAAGAAAAAGATACAGCTTACTTAAATTGTAGCAACATGATCACAAACTTTACGGGAAAGGAAAGCCACGTAACGATCGAACAACTATACTGCTCAGCACAATTAGGTGGAAAAGTTCACGGCTATTTAATAGTACTCTCTGTGATAGATATATTCCTGTCCATTACCGCAATTCTGGGGAATATTCTGATTCTAGCTGCTCTGCGCAAGGAGACTTCACTTCATCCACCGTCCAAACTCCTATTACGTAACTTAGCGATAACTGATCTCTGTGTTGGTATCATCGTGGAACCTCTTAGTGCTATTTATTGGGCCTCTGAGGCAACTGAACGCTGCCAGAATATTTGTCGCTACACCTCAGACTTTAGATATGTTACAGGCTTTGTTTTGTGCGCAGTGTCCTTGATGACAATGACTTCAATAAGCGTGGACAGACTTCTCGCCTTGTTGCTTGGCCTCCAATACAGACAAGTTGTAACATTGAAAAGAACATACATAGCTCTAACAACCCTTTGGGTTGGTTCTATCGTCGCTGGGACAATATACTTTGTGAAGCCCCTTGTAACTTCTTGGCTCGGCAATATAGGTATACTACTCTGCATAGTCATCTCAATCGTTTCTTATTCGAAAATTTTCCATACCCTTCGCCACGTCCACATTCAGCCACAGCAACGCATCTCGCAAGTACAGTCAAACCAAGCAACTCCACTGAACATGGCTCGATACAGAAAGGCAGTATCAAGTACACTGTGGATACAAGTAACATTAGTTGTTTGTTGTCTAACTTTTTTTTTCGCTTTAATTATAACACCTCAAGGAGACCCTTTACCATATTATCTTGCTACACAATTTGGGCTGGTATTTCTTTACCTAAACTCTTCATTAAACCCGCTGTTGTACTGCTGGAAAATCAGAGAAGTCAGACAAGCAGTGAAAGACACCATCAAACAAGTTTCCTGTTCGTTCTTTTAATTTAATTATACTCTTTTCATGCCCAGAATTTCCTTGTTATTCGTTGAGTTATCTTTTTTTTGTTGCGTTATAGCAGCTTATAGCGGTTTTGAACAAAGTTAACAGAGAACGACATTCACATCCATCTAGCCAATCTCATTGTTCTTCATACCATACGAAATCCCAAACGTATTGGAATTAAAAATAGATATTTGGACTTGAAGCTAACTACAAAAATCGGAAACAACTGAACCATACTCTTTATTATAACCACAGTCAATTAAAGTGGAATGTTTTGGAAACCCTTTGTTATAGGTTTTTGTTAGCTTTTTTGGACCTGACCGTGAACAACGTTCAATAACATTCCTATCATTTTGAAGTTATTGACCAATAGAAACATTGAATTGATTTATTCAGTCGTAATCTGTGAACAGGAAACAAAGGATTGTGCACGGCCAGGGAGCTTCCAAAATAACCTACAGCACCACTGTTTTCAACTTTGACGTTTGCCGGGTTTCCTAACCAGTCTCCTCTACTAACTATGTTATAACCCGAGACTAAAGCCCCAGACCCAAGAAGAAGATATAATCGTGAACCAGCAAGCCGATAGAGTGTTTTTGGTCCAGTGACCTGCGGCCATCTTGGTCTTCTTAAAAAAGAAAGGAACAGATGCATAAAGATAGAGTTCAGTTTGCAGTGGACTGCTTTGCTTCTCCAACATGACCGCCTGATCTGTTTGTTTACTCCTCCAACATGCTCGTCTTGATTAAAAAAAATATTTTTTTGCGAAGAAATTTAAGAAGAAAAAACCACAAGTTTTGCATCTGACTTCCAAACATTTTTTAAACATAGTTTCCTTTGTATTTTCTTTAAATATTATTATTGAGTTTGGGAATAACAATTTGTATACAATATGTAATATATAATTGCCTATAAGATAAGGAGGAAACGGGATTGATTAGGGTTAATCAGGGAAACTCTCCTGAGTCATTCTTTACTCTCAGAGATGGTCTCATACTAACTCAGGTATTGTCATTATGGAGCAGATTTTAAAAAAACACTTTTAAGTCTTTTTTTTAATCTAAAGAAGTTTAAAAACTTCTTTAGATTAGTCAAAGTAGTTATATCATCACTGATCTAAGGAAATCTCAGGAAATTGCATGTAAACTGCACTACAAGCAGTCGGGCACTGCTGTGAAGTATGACTGAAGCGACCTCAGAGCATATAGTGGATAATAAGGGCCTGTTTTCATGAAGGTGGGGGACCCCAGGTAGGTGATATAACCCGCTTAGATTGGTAACCCACCTGTCCGTATAATCTCTCATTTTAATTTGATCACGTTTACATGATAGATGGGGTGACCCGCCGTGGGTTACCTCACCTATCTGGGGTCCCCCACCTCCATGTAAACAGGCCCTAAGATATTTACATTATGTCAAGTCAACCAATTCAACCAATAGCTTGGTCAGTAGAAAAACATACTGAATAGGACGAAAAACTTGCTCTGCGCATATTGCAGTAAAGCGAGTTTGCGATATTATACCCATATTCGACAGCTGCCCTTGTAAGAAAACGACACAGCTTACTTAAATTGTAGCAACATGATCACAAACTTTACCGGGAAGGAAAGCCAGATAACGATCGATCAACTATACTGCTCAGCACAATTAGGTGGAAAAGTTCACCAATATTTAATAGTACTGTCTGTGATAAATATATTCCTGTCTATTACCGCATTTCTGGGGAATATTCTGATCCTAGTTGCTCTGCACAAGGAAACTTCACTTCATCCGCCGTCCAAACTCCTCTATCGCAACTTAGCGATAAGTGATCTTTGTGTTGGTATCATCGTGGAACCAGCAGCTGTTTCTTATTGGATATCTGAGGTGATAGAACGATCGGATATTTGTTTATACGCCTTAGACTTAGCATATGTTACAGCCTATGTTCTGTGTTCATTGTCGTTGGGGACAACAACTTTTATAAGCGTGGATAGACTTCTCGCCCTGTTGCTTGGCCTCCGATACAGACAAGTTGTAACTTTGAAGAGAACATATCTAACTATAATATTCCTTTGGGCTATCTCCAGTTTCGCTGCAACAACGTACTTTGTGAGCCCCGTTGCACACCCTTGGTTTGGAAACATAGGTCTATCACTCTGTTTAGCCATCTCACTCTTTTCCTATACAAAAATTTTCCTTACCCTGCGTTACAACCACATTCAGCCACAGCAACACGTCTCGCAAGCACAGTCAAACCAAGCAACTCAACTGAAAACGGCTATATACAAGAAAGCAGTGGTCAGTGCATTGTGGATACAAATAACGTTAGTAGTGTGTTGTCTGCCGTTTTTTTTCGCTTTGATTATAACACCTCAAGGAGACCCTTTACCATATTACGTTGCTAGACAATTTGGGGCTGTATTTATTTACCTAAACTCATCATTAAACCCGTTGCTGTACTGTTGGAAGATCAAAGAAGTCAGACAAGCGGTGAAAGACACAATCAAACAAGTTCCCTTTCGGTTATTTTAATTTAGATCCTTTTCATGTTGAGAATTTCCTCGTTAGTTGTTTAAAGTTATCTTTTTCTTTGTTGCGTTATAGCTGTTTTGAACAAAGTTAACAAAGAACCACCTTGACGCCCGTTCTCTCCAATCTCCTTGTTATTCATTTCATACGAAATCAGAATCGTATTGGTATTAAAAATAGATATTTAGACCCGAGGTAAGGTGTATACATCCCTGTAAAGACAAACGTAAGACGTTCCGCCCAATCAAACCCTTTATCTTCACCCGAGACTAAAGCCCTAGATTTAACAACCAGGGGGTCAATTTAATAAAACTTTTCCAAGTGTAATTTACAGGTGTAGCCATTGTCTTCAGAGTTCAGAACAATGGCTACACTTATAAACTACACTTGTAAACATTTTATTAAATTGACTCTAGCAAGCCCTTCTGGTCCTGTGAGCTATGGCCATCTTGGTTTTCTTAAAAAAGGAAACAGTTGAGATAGAGTTCAGTTCTCGGTGGACTGCTTTGCTTCGCTTTGTTTACTCCTCCAACATGCCGCCGTGACGTCAAGCGGACATGTTTTGCATCTCTGTTTGAAACTTGCTCCTTTACATTGTTGTTTGTAACGTATACTCCTTCTTTTTAGAGTCACAAATATGCTCTACCTCAGTGAATTTATGATTCTTTTCACACTCTTTTCTCAAAAGCACCTTTACTATTTTCTTCTTTGATTTCATGAAACTCTGTTGCTGCCGTCAATGTCTGGATTAGCAAAAAAACAATTTTAACCTGATTTCATTAGAACAGATTAAAAAATTTATGGCTTAGAAAAATTAGATTAGATTTTTGTTAACCTGGTTTGTTTCTCCCCGGGAGGGACAAACATTGAGCGACAACCGAATAAAACCAGAAAAAAAAATTAACAATTTAGAACGTATTAATTCAAATATTAATAAAAATTGCTGAAAACGAGGTCCAGTTGCAAGAGAAATGCATTTACGAAAGTTTGCTTGTGTCACACACATTACAGTTTGATTAAAAAACGGAAAATTAATGTATTGTTATTTGCTAACGGGAAAGCCTGAGATAAAAGACTGCGGTTTTGTCGTCACGCGTGACGACACAAAGAACATCTACAGAGCAGTCTAACCGGTTCCATCTCTTGCCTGTAAATGGTGGTCTCTCAAATAAGTTTTCATCAAAGAAGGGTATTCCTCATGATCCCTCGGCCCGATAGTTTTCAGTATGTACACGCCCAAGAAGTTTTAGATTGTTGAGCGTCACCTGCCATATAATAAAGGACAGTCTGAGAGATCTGTCCTTACAATTCTTGGTTTGTAACCACGTGACAAGGCGATCATGTTGGTGGTCGATACAATAAAATTCGCTTTCGAAGAATTTACATGAAATCAGCGGAAACAAAAACGTTTTAGTTGTGATAACAAACATGGCCGCTGTGACGTCAAATGTAAACCAGCAATATCTGAGAGGTCATTCATTATTGAGCTTAATGACAAAATAAAAATAGACCAACCATTTTCAGTTGAAATAAGTGAAAATAAGGAAAAATTAATTAACGCATTTTTTAACTTCCAGAACACTGATGAACGGATTATACACCGTCCGCTGTCTGGCATATTGGAGACAGTAATGAAAAGGAAAATAACTGAAACAATTACTCGTTCTACTCACAAATAATTATGACACATAAAAAGCCCCAGTTCCAAATTTACAACTGTATTAAACTCTCTACTGTTCCGGCTTTTGCGGGTCAGTAAGAATGGTCCGGTTTTTTAATTTTGATCATACAGAGTTGCTGTGCACACTCAATCACCCAAAGGAAACTTTGATACGTCACAAGCTTTGTTCTGTGGTCAGTTTCTTTGATTACAATGAGTTCAATAAGCGTGGAAAGGCTTCTCGCCTTGTCACTGACGCTCAGATGCAGTGACAAGTTGTAACATTGAAAAGAACATATGCAACTATAATATTCTTTTGGGCTGGCTCTACTGTCTCTGGGACAATCTACTTTGTGAACCCCCTTGTAATTTCTTGGCTCGGCAATATAGGTATACTACTCTGCATAGTCATCGCAATCCTCAATTCTTATTCGAAAATGTTACCCTTCGTTACGACCACATTCAGCCACAGCCACACGTCTCGCAAGCACAGTCAACCCAAGCTACTCCACTGGACATGGCTTGATACAGAAAGGCAGTATCAAGTGCATTGTGGAACTAACATTGGTTGTTTGTTATCTGCCGTATGCTGTTGCGCTAGATGTAACACCTCAAGGAGAAACTTTGCCACATTACCTTGTTAGACAATTGGAGTTACATTTCTTTACTTAAACTCGTCACTTTACCCACTGTTCTACTGCTCAAAGAAGTCAGGCAAGCGGTGAAAGACACACTCAGAGAAGTGTCCTGTTCGTCATTTTAGCATTTCATTATGGATATTTCCTGGTTTTCAAAGAATATCTTTTGAGAATTTTTTTGAATGCTTTGGTAATTCACTGTGCGTTATATACTGATCGGCCAATGTGAGGGAATCCGGATTCCGGAATCCGGGAAATTTTTGCTAGTGGAATCCAGAGTCCGGAAGCATAGGCTTTGGAATCCGAATACAGCTCAAGGAATCCGGAATTCCACTCACGAATGAAATCCGAAATCCATGTTCCACTGACAAAGAATCCGAAATCCAGTACCTGGAATCCGGAATTCACAGCGTGGAATCTACAATTCAAGACTGTCTTGGATTCCCTTACAAGGGGCGATACTGTCATGGAAAATGAGAAAATGAAAGATAAACTCTGCGTAAGGGCCAAGTTCCGCATCAGCCAGAGCTTATCCCGGTTTCTGTAGCATGAAGCGACTAGGAATCATGTTTCTACTCCCCCTGGATGGGATGCCACTGATTCCATGGTAGGGTTACCTCCAACAGAATGTCACTATTTTATACACCTGGGTGAAGAGAGACAAAGTGAAGCAAAGTTTCCTTGTCTAACGAAACGATACGATAGCAGGGATTGAACCCAGACCACCACATCCGAAGACCGAGGTGCTAACCGCTTGGCTGCCACGCCTCCACAGCATGAAAGTGATCCTTCTCGATCTGCACATGTAGAGCGTATAAAATTTCACCAGTGATTTAATTGCTAAGTTCAGTTCTTTCGCAAGTGAAAAACTTGAACCCTTAACTGCTTTTATCTTCTTAACATTTAAGTTTAAATGGTTCTTCCTTAACATAATTTATATAAATGTCGGAAAGAATTTCTTTGCCGTAAGTTCTCAAAATCTAAGGCTGAATCCGAATTCGTTTAGCTGATTGCTGTCGAGACCTGTGATATACATTTATACATATAGATGTAATCTCAAGTTTTATTCATATCATTTGTTTGAATATGTTATACATATATGAAGTTTCTTCTTCTAGTTTCTTTTTGTTTTAGTTAGTCTATAATCAGGGGCACCCAACGACAATTTTCGGAAGAATATCTGTTCGGAAGACGATTTGAGATCTAGAATTTTCGAAACATTTGTTGTAAAATTTCTTGCTTGTTTGCCTGCCTCTCCTAGGATTTTCGAACATCCAAAAAATGGTATATTTGCCTATTTTTAACGGATTTTTACCCTAAAAAGGTCACCTAGAATTTTTGGAAGCCTTTTTTCTGGCTGAAATTTTCGAAAAGGTAAGTTTTGATCCCTATAATTTTCGGATCACTAGACTTTCAGCTAGGAAATCCGAACAGATGAAAAATTTTTAGGGGATAAAAATATGCCTATATCTACCTTTTAAATACTAAAATACGTTTAACAATGCTATGTTTAAGTGGTTTTGAACTATATTCTCGTGGGGTGCCCCTGTATAATGGACGTAGAGCTACTCAGAAAACAATTGAATTTGTGCCGAAAATGTATTTAAAGATTTTGAGTAATTTGCTTGCGTTTTCAGGTTGTCACAATTATTATTATTATCAATATTGTTATTTATTATATAAACACCAATGAAATACCAGGTGAGCTTTCGCGCGAAAACTTGATATCTTTAGATGTGAAAATAACATGTTATCTTCACATGTGAAAATATTACCGTTACTATGACTACATAATAAATCGCGCCTTTCGCACCAAAAAACTATTAAAGTGAAATGGTTTGGTAGTTCATTGGTGTTTATATAATAGATAGAACATTACATGGCCGCTTGGAGATACGAAATTTCTCTTCTCGTGTTGAAAAAATATTTCACTCGTTCGCTGCGCTCACTCGTCAAATATTTTTCAACACGAGAAGCGAAATTTCTTATCTCCAAGTGGCCATGTAATATCCTCTATATCAACAAAAACTTGAACAATGTTAATGGTGGCATCATTTACCCAAGCGCAAAAAAATTCAAACTGATAATTTAGTAGTGGGCCCGCAACATTAACGCACTACTGAAGATTAGTCAAGCATAACATAAATTCAGGTCGTTAAGTTTTCAAAACAAGCCTTGAAATTAAATCAACCGTTCAATCTTTGGCAAGGTATTCAATAACGCCCGTTTCAAACGTCGTGCTCCTGCCGCGCCGAACTCAATAATTTATCGAATTAAATTCGACTTTAGCACGGCAGTAGCGCGACGTTTGAAACCAAGTCGTGCTACTGCAGCTTGCTGCCGTGTAGCACAGCAAGCCTTGCCGTGCTACACGGCATTAGCTCTACTTGGTTTCAAACGTCGTGCCACCGCCGTGCCGAACTCAATTAATGAATTATAAATACATTAGAATATATTTAAAAGTTTGCTAAACCGTTTCTTTATTTTTGGGTTTTGTTTTTGGCAACAGCCGTTCCATTCGAGTGTCATTGTGTGAATTAAATTCCACGTCTGAAACCAAGTCGTGCTAATGTCGTGCTGCAGTCGAGCTACCGTCGAGCCAGCTTAGCACGGCAGTAGCACGACGTTTGAAACAGGCCTAAGCTAAGGTACTAAATAAGGCTTCATTAAGACACACCTTTAAACGACTCACTTAATGATCCTTAACTGGGATGGCGAATTAAAATGGTTTCTGAAAGATTCTCAGTTGTTCTGAGCTCACTCCACGTATGCAAACTGAGTCTGCCGAGTTGGAGTTCTGTGATTGGTTTATATACCGCTAATCGCCACGGATAAATAATTAATAGCACAAAGAGAAGCTCGTGGAGAACACGAGGAAGTGAAAAGACTTACTTCAAAATGGCCGCAAGTAGTGGTAACACAGATGTGTTCGATTGTCAAGTGAAAGCTTGCGAGGAATTTTTTCAAGAACTACTCCCTGAAGTTCAAAACTTAAAGCCATTAGAAAACGACTATATACCAGAAAATGCCAAAAGATTCCAGGGACCAATCTATGATATAACAAACTTTGATGCACGTGAAGTCGTCGCATTGCTGTCTCGGATTGTGAACGACAGAGAGCAGTTTACAGCAGGTAAGACCTTCTACTTGTTGTTACGCGACGGCCACGAGAACGAACCTGACGCAATTGAGGAACTGTTCAAGCTGGTAGCCAACCCTAAAAAAGATCAACCCGGCAATGCGACCGTGTTTTTACGTCTCAGAAGAAAGGAGAAGTTTGAAAAAGACGCCCATGACTACGAGGAACTGAACGGTGCCTTAGAAGCCTATTACAAAAAGGATACAGCATCCTTCTCGAGAGATATCATGAAATTGTTTAAGAACGCAGTGGCCAATAAAAAGTCTCATCAAGCCACGTTTGAAGCTTACATGGTATTACTGTTTGAAATAGCCCGACGCCTGGTTGCATTAGAGGAGCCGAACGAGAAGAAAGCGCAGTATGACGTTCTTCCGATTGGAAGCGCGATTGCAAGGATCGTGAAATTGATGGCGCTTGGCATATGCACCTTTGATGACGTATTTTTTACGGGACACAAATTCAACTGCTTCAAAGGAAAACCTGGGGATAGGAGAAAAGCGATTGATAAAATCAACGAGACCACTTTGGCAAACGCGTTTGCTATGAAGGTCAATTCTCCTCTTGAAGAGCTTACACAAATGTCTTGTTCCAAAGAACAAGAAGAAGCCATACTAGCAAAAAAATTCGCGGATCTAAAAACTTAAGGTTGCAGATAATACGGCTTGGTCGATGAAGACGAAGAAGTCTACACTCAATACAAAATTCATTCAGTATTCGATTACACCTGGACTAATTTTTTTTTATCAGACCTGAAGAATCGTAAAGACATCAAACTTAAAACATACCTTAATGGATTTCAGTTTATACCTGCATAAAATACGAGTTCAAGGTAAAATAGTTTTCTAGGCTATAGCAAACACTTAAGAAAACCGTATAGTTTTATGAAACGATCAACCGTTTTAAGGGAACTACTTTTACACTGCACTTTCGGTTTCACGCGATGTTGGGAAAGTACTTCCGTTAGTTAGTTACTTTCGTTTTGTAGGTGGTCACCCATCACTTGTTGACTAAATATTTAACATTAAAGTAGTCGATCTTCGTACTTTTTAGCTTTCATTCATACCCATATATCTTTTTTATCCTGTCCTCCATTAAATGGAAATGGTTTTGATCTTCTAGAATGATAGTGTCCTTACAGTACCCGAGAAATTAGCGAATTAAATCGAAAGAACATAACTTCTTTGCATCGGTGAACAAAAGGTTTCATTCGAGCAAATCATTACATTTGTTAAGTTCAGAGCGCGGAAGAATATGAAAAGAATTTTTAAAAGTCTGCACTGGTCTATTCAATGTATCTTTTGAAATTCCTTAAATTTTGGAAGGCGGTTGGATCAATAACTAACAATTTGAATAGTGCAAAGCCTGTTTAATCTATAAATAACTGCCACTTCACCCCTGTCAGCTATAAACCGTAATATCATTAACTAATGTTATTGTGCAAAACTGTATTCTTAATTTCTGGTCTAATAAACACGATTACTAGCCAGGGCTTTTGTTTTCACTATTTCGATATAGTAGGCGGGTTTCTAGGCTAAATTTCATTAGCTCTTCCGGGTCCTGTCTAGTTCCACCCCAGGGAATAAGCGCGAGCTCATTTCGCTCATTTACGGTTAGCGAGCAAACCTAGCAGGTTTGTAGTAGAACTTTGTCGGTGTATTAAAAAAAGTGCAATGTTTGAGAGTCATATGAATGTTGCATGCGCATGTTAACCGAATGCACTCTGATGCCCAGGATCATCCTTAAAGCACAAAAAAATGAAAACAGTACAAACACAACTACTTGTCGTGATATGCTAGTAGGGAACTAGACAGTTTAAAGCCTTCGGAACTAACCTCGAAGTTACTCAACAGTGACATTCATTTACTCAACTTGTAGGAACTATAGATCACAGAATAGAGATATATCACGAGTTACATTTTTGAAAGATAAGTAGTGTAAGCCATTTATTTTATATCCAACAACCTAACTATTAAAAGTAGGTTAATTGCATGCAAACATGCACTGACTGATGGCTTTTCCTACTTGCAGTTTTTACTTTAAATCATTTTCCTGAGAATTCTACCAAATGCGATAGAGAGGGGAATTCATCGAGTCATTTGCAACTGATGCCCATAGGTTTCTCGGTTTCTGAATTGTATTTAGACGGGTGTGGTTTCACGGGCAGTGACCAGCTTTAGCGTCTGAGCCGGCAACGCAGTACTAAAAATCAGGACCTGTCGAACGTGATTAAAAAGCGGTAAAAGATAAGGAGCTGTTGGTTGCATTTCGATCACAGTTCTATCCTACTTAATGGCCACGTATCTACCTTGCTTTAGGAACACTAAAGCTGAGATTCTATATCGTTAGTAGGTTACTAGTCACTAGTTCCTAGACTCAGACATTGCGCTGGAGCCGACACCTCTACCTCATCACAATCATAGATAAGTGAATGCCTTCGAGTTTTCTTAGCTTTACCGTCGAGCTTTATTTCAAAATTCTTCCTATGCTCTCCGGGTAGACTGCTTCATACATTGAAATGTCTTTCGAAATGAGTTGCATTATCTGGTTGACCGTGATCGAACCAGCGTGATGCGCTTGAAAATATAACGTTATTCAAAAAGGGGCCGAAAGTGCAGACGTAAGACGAAAAAACTTGCTGAGCAGGTCACACATGAGCACCGCAGGAAAACCAAGTACCACAAGAATCTTAATATCAGAGGTTGCGTTTTCCTAACGTCGAACGCAAAAACATCTAGCCTATATGACTATGTCTTTTTAAGAAGCATGCAAGAGGGAGGGAGGAACATGGATCTCCAGCAGAAAAAATCCCATTCTTTTCTCCACCTTGTTCCCTACAAAATATGCATTGAATGCGATATAACTGTGTAGCGTCTGACCATTAGCCTCCTAAACAGAACAAATACTAACAGTACTTCACGCTTTAAATAGTATCCCGCCATAACGAAAGAAATTAACATGGTTGTATATTCTTCTCCTGCCATCAATAGCTTTGCCTTAGGTGTTCCCCTGACCATCTCCGTCCCAGGACTTCCTGTTACCTCGAGCCACCGATTTTTTTTCTTTCCCTTTCCTGTACGAGCTCTTGTCACGAAAGCGCCACATTTAACACACTTTTAAAGTATACATACATGCATACATACTCATGCATGCCTAACATGAAATCTGTCATCTCGTCACACAGCAAGTATGTTCTTTCAGATTTCAACTCACCAACGCAACAACCTGACACCTGGAATTGCAGAAAAAAAAACAGATTGTCCACTCGAAGGAAAATGCCTCCAATCAAATGTAATCTACCAAGCCACTGTAACCACAGCGACGACAACTGAAACTTACGTCGGACTGGCAACAAACTTTAAGGAACGTTACAGAAACCAGCAGTCCTCCTTTCGACGCTCGAACAGAAGAAATGAAACGGAACTCTCAAAATATATTTGGACTTTACAAGACTCTAAGAAACCTTTCCAGATAAAATGGAAAGTTTTAAAGAAATGTAAACCCTATAGCAACATTAGCTAAAAATGTAACCTTTGTCTTTATGAAAAGTTAATCATCATTTGTAAAAAAGAGCTTTGTAGCCTAAACAAGCGAAACGAACTAGCGAGTTCATGCCCCCACAGAAACAGATTTGTATTCCAGAACTCTAGAATAACGTAACTAAGACACAATCCATCTGTTACCTTGATACTATCTCTTAACGCATCCCTATAACAACCACCCAAATTTTACTGCCAGCTTTTAATTTCAAAGTGTGTAAGCGTTCTGGCGCCTCTTGGCACTAATTGGGGACACATTTAAACCTAATTAAGCTTAACTGCTTTAAAACATATATAAAAGCCGGAAACGTACACTATTGAAACTAAGTACTATATTTAGACTTTAAAACTAAATGCATATATAAGCGCGGAACCTAAACATGTACATCTGCCAAACATACTAAAATAAATTAATTTACGTAGGTTACTACACACGTCCAGTTAACCGAAGTATAAGCGGTATTAACTCCCACATATCCTTCGACAATCGATGTTACATCCTTTTTGCGTATCATTATCCTAAAAGCCACTAAAGTTCCAATATTTCCCTCCTCGTTGCTTAATTTTGACCACAATTTTGGTCCGAGAAACCTGAGAGAATGTCTTTCATCAGCAACAGTCTTAAAACGAGGTAAAAGAAAATCTGACTACAGTACTAAGCACCTCCTCTGGATAAAAGTTTTTTTTCTTTTCATATTAGAGCTTTTGTCTTTGACGAGTCCGTGACGACATTTTCAAGACAAAGTAGCAAATTATGCAAAGTCGTTTTTAAAACAGTTTTCAGGACATGACCTTTCTGTTAAAATAACATAGAATAATCTGTTACTTTGCCGAAGACTATGGCGCCGGGGTATGGCGTCACGATCACGCCGAGATGCCGGCTTATTACACTCATATTTGCTATAGTTTTTGCTCAAGTAATTCGCCCCTGACCAAAAATTAGAGCTTTAAAACAAAGCCCACTCCAGGAAAGCAACTGAGTCTGTCGAGTTGGGGTTCTGTGATTGGTTCATAAACCACTATACGTCACGGATAAATAATTAATAGCACAGACTGAAAGAGGCTTGTGGAAAACACGAGGAAGCGAAAAGACATTTCAACATGGCGTCAGGTAACACACATGAGTTCGATTGTCAAGTGAAAGCTTGCGAGAAATTTTTTCAAGAACAGCTCCCTAAAGTTCAAAACTTAAAGCCATTAGCAGAAGACGATATACCAAAAAATGCCAAATTATTCAAAGACCCAAAAATCTATGATATAACAAGCTTTGACGCGCGTGAAGTCGTCGCAGTGCTGTCTTGCATTGTGAACGACAGAGACCAGTTTAAGATGAATAAGACCTTCTACTTGTTGTTACGCAACGGCCAAGAGAACAAACCTGACGAAATTGAGGAATTGTTTAGGCTGAGAGCACGCCCTACAACACATCAACCCGGAAATGCGATCGTATTTTTACGTCCAAGAGGAAAGAAGAAGTTTACAGAACCAGCCAAAAAATACGACGAACTGAACGGTGCCTTAAAAGCCTATTACAAAGAGGATACAACATCCTTCGCGAGGGATATTAGGAAATTGTTTAAGAACAACGCAGTGGCCGATAACAACTTTCCTCAAGCCATGTTTGAAGCTTACATGATTTTACTGTTTGAAATTGCACGACGCTTGGTTGCGTTAGAAGACCCGAGCGACAAGAAAGTGCAGTATGACGTTCTTCCGATTGGAAGCGCCATTGCAAGGATCGTAAAATTGCTGGAGCTTGGCAGAACGGATATATGCTCCTTTGAGGACGTGTTCTTTCCGAACAACAAATTCCACTGCTTCACAGGAAAACCTGAGGAAAGGAGAAAAGCGTTCGATAAAATCAACGAGACCACTTTGGAAATTGCCAAGAAAAAGAATATGGAGACCTACAGAGCAAGCGTTCTCTGGCTAGGTGGTGCGGCGATAGATCCGGCAAAAGTGTTTTCTATGCAGGTTCCTAAGCAAGATTATGTTGCGATAGATCCGGCAAAAGTGTCTGCTACGCAAGTAAAATGTCATCTTGAAGAGCTTAAAGAAATGTTTTGCTCCGAAAAACAACCAGAAGCGATGCTACGCCGAAAAGAAGACAGCGCAGGAGCCATGCTACAAAAAGGTCTCGAGGATTTATCAATATCAATGAGTGTTGCAGATAGTATGGCCCTTTCGATGAAGACGAAGAAGTCTGCAGTTGATACAGAAAGATATACAGGATACGATCACGCTCGACGACATGGTGTTTGGAGCTGAGAAATCGTAAAAACATCAAGCTTAAAACATACCTTGATCAGTGGATGTCAGTATATACCAGGACGAAATACGGGTTCAAGGTAAAATCGTTTTCTAGGCTATAGCAAACACTTTCGGTTTCACGATGCCGTGAAAGTACTTCCGTTAATTAAGTTGCTTTCGTTTTGTAGGTGGTCACACATCACTTGTTGACTACATTTTTAAACATTAAAGTAGTCGATCTTCGTACTTTTTAGCTTTCAATCATACCTATAGTTTTTTTAAATTCTGTTTTCGATTAAATGGAAATGGTTTTGATCATCTAGAATGATAGTGTTCTTACAGTACCCACTGAAAAATTGGTGAATTAAATCGAAAGAAATTTCTTTGCATCTGTGAATGGAACAAAAGGTTTCATTCAAGCAAATCATTACATTTGTTAAGCTCAGAGCGCGCAAAAATACAAGACAAGAATTCTAGAAAGTCTGGACGGGTCTACTTAAAGTATCTTTTGAAATTCCTTAAATTTGCAAGGTGTTGGATCAATAACTAACATTTTGAATAAGGCAAAGCCTATTCAAACTATTATAAACAGCTGCCACTTCATCCTTGTCATCTATAAACCGTAACATCGTTAACTAATGTTATTGTGCAAAACTGTATACTTAGTTTCTGGTCTAATAAACACGATTACTAGCCAGGGCTTTTGTTTTCACTATTTCGATATAGTAAGCGGGTTTTTTAGGCTCAATTTCCTTGCTCTCCCAGGTCCTGTCTTGTTCCACCCAAGGAATGAGCCCAGGATCATCCTCCAAGCATAAAAAAATGAAAACAGTACAAACACAACTACTTGTCGTGATATGCTAGTAGGGAACTAGACAGTTTAAAGTATTTCAGAACTAACCTCTAGGTTACTCAACAGTGACATTCATTTACTCAACTTGTAGAAACTTTAGATCACAGAATAGCGATATATCATGAGTTATGACAGTTATGCAAACCCTCGACTTCGTCTCGGGTTTGCATAACTGTCAAGAATTCTCCCAACCCGCAAACACAGGAAAAAAGTTTCTATTGCTTTTTTAAAATAACTTTCCGGAGAAAAAAGAAAAAATCTTTGTTTAGGTTACTGATTAAAAGATAAATTCTTACCATTCGCGAAGTCTGGTACACGAAGCTACACGAAGCTTAATGTACGTGTAATCAGTCTTGTTTTGCAATAGCATTGCTTTCCAAAAAAAGGTTTTTCTCGCTTAAAATGTCAGCTTAAGCGAAAACAATTGGCACAGCATGTTTGTAAAGATTTTCCAAGTTTCATCCGAATGAGGGAATGGGTAAATAAAGTAGATTTGTCGAGTTTTCAACTCAAAAACATTTTAAATTCGTGCTTGTGTGATAAGCGCGCGAAGAGCAAAACATCTTGACTCCAAACATGTTTACATACTCTCATGCAAACACATCTCTCGGCCAATCAGAGCGCGCGCGTACCAAGCGGGTTACCTCACCTTCCTGGGGTCCCCCACCTCCATGTAAACAGGCCCCTTAGACTTCTCGTTTTTTGTTCTTAATACTTTAGCTGATTAGATCTCTATGACTATAACGTTTTAAGAAGTGCAAACACATCTCTCGGCCAATCTCTCGACCAGTCAGAGCGCGCGCGTACCAGGCGGGTTACCCACCAAAGCGGGTTACCTCACCTACCTGGGGTCCCCCACCTCCATGTAAACAGGCCCCTTAGACTTCTCGTTTTTTGTTCTTAATATTTTAGCTGATTAGATCTCTCTTCTAGAGATCCAACGTTGACAAGCAACAAGATCTTTGTCCACGGTTTTTGCAGTACATTTCTTACACAAAAATGAAGTATGAAAAACTTTTTAAGGCTTACGAGTTTTTTTTATTCTGTCCCTTTACAAGCAATTTCTTTGTAAACGTCAAGTCACACAAGGCATAAGGAAATGAACCGAAGCTTATTGAATTTTTTCTCCAAAAATGAGGCGCTTCAAACCATAGTAATACCTCTTAGTACCGTATTTACGCGAATAAGCGCCGCGACGCTTATTAAATTCCCTCAAATGAGGCGCTTATTTGAGTAATTACTGTAATTTGCAAAATAAGGATTTATTACATTTAGGGTCGTTTATTACGTTTAGGCCTTCTACAGCATCATGTGGTTCACCTTGATCGAACGAGCGTGATGCCCTTGAAAATATAACGTAATTCAAGATGGGGCCGAAAGTGCAGACGTAAGACGAAAAAACTTGCCGAACAGGTCACACCTGAGTACCGCAGGAAAATCAAGTACCACAAGAAGCCCAATATTAGAGGTCGCGTTCTCCTAACGTCGAACGCAAAACCACCTAGCTTTTATGACTATAACTTTTTAAGAAGTATGCAAGGGGGAGGGAGGAACATAGATCTCAGACAGAAAAAGGCCATTCTTTTCTTCACTTTTGTTCCCTACAAAATATGCATTGAATGCAATATAACTGTGTAGCGTCTGACCATTAGCCTCCTAAGCAGCACAAATACTAACAGTTCTTCACGCATTGAATAGTATCCCGTCTCCTGCCATCAATGGCTTTGCCTTAGGTGTTCCCCAGACCCTCTCCGTCCGAGGACTTACTGTTACCTCGAGCCACCACAATTGTGGTCCGAGAAACCTGAGAGAATGTCTTTTATCATCAGCCGTTTTGAAACGAGGTTAAAGAGACTCTGACTTCAGTGGCACCTCGTTAATACAGTCAACAATGGGTCAAAAGAAATTGTGCCGTATTAACGAGGGTTTTTTACAAGAAAATGTATGGCGGTTTTTGCCAGGCGGCCAAAAATAAGTGGCCGTAATAACGAAGTCACCGTATTACTGAGGTGGCCCTAAGGCGGGGTTTCACTGTACTAAGCGCCTCCGCAGAATAAAAGATATTTTTCTTTTCATATTAGAGCTTTTGTCTTTGACATCTCCGTGACGACATTCCCAAGACAAAATAGCAAATTATGCAAAGTCATTTTTAAAGCAGTTTTAAGGACATGACGGTTTTCATGTCATCATGTCGGTAAGTTAAAGGTAGTAATTTTGTACTAGTGATTGTTATTAAAGTTTCTGTTAAAATATCATCTGTTATTTAGCCTAAGACTATGGCGCCAGGCTATGCGGTGACGATCACGCCGAGATGCCTGCTTATTACACTCATATTTGCTATAGTTTTTGCTCCAGTAGTTCGCACCTGATCAAAAAGTAGAGCTTTAAAAAAACAAAACTAAGCTCTGCATGACACCATTTTAATTGCTTGAGTTTGGTCATCTTAATAGATTAATTTTAGTGTTGATAGTTAATATTTGGGTGCTATACATCTGCTCTGCTGAGCTTAATCTCATCAACTATGGAGCTAAAAAACTTAACTGAAGAAGGGAACCAAAAAATGATTGAAGAACTTTACTGCTCATCAGAATTAACTCGACAAGCACCCAACCACCTGATAACTCTTCTAGTGCTTAACGCGTTCGTGCTTATTACTGCATTCCGAGAAAACACTATAATTCTCGCCGCTCTGCGCAGGGAATCTTCACTTCATCCGCCGTCCAAACTCCTGTATCGTAACCTAGCGATTACTGATCTCTGTGTTGGTATCATCGTGGAGCCTTTTTATGTTAGCTACTGGGTATCTGCGGTGTTTAAACGGTGGAATATCTGTCGCTACACATTGGCAACAAGTATTGTCGCGGGCTATACTTTGACCGGAGTGTCTTTGTTGACACTAGCTGCAATAAGCGTGGACAGACTTCTCGCCTTGTTGCTACGGATCAGGTACAGACATGCAGTAACTTTAAAGAGGGCGTATATTGCTGTAATCTTAATTTGGGTTGTGCCTATTGTTGGAGGAACAATGTACTTTTTTAACCGTGTTGTGACTTTATGGTATGGCAATATAAATATCTTTATTTGCCTCCTCACCACGATTTTTTGTTACACTAAAATTTTCATTACTCTCCGTCACAACCAAATTCAAGTACAAGAACACGTTTCCACCCAACGACAACCGCGTCAAGCAACTCCACTGAACATGGCTCGATACAGAAAGGCAGTATCCAGTGCACTGTGGCTTCAATTGACACTGGTTGTTTGTTATCTACCTTACGGTGTAGCGGTAGCCTCTACGCCTCAATGGGGTGTACCTCTATCCTTTCTCCTTGCTAGACATTATTCGGGGACTTTAGTTTACTTAAACTCGTCATTGAACCCGTTGCTGTACTGCTGGAAGATTAGAGAAATCAGGCAAGCAGTGAAGGAGACACTCAGGCAACTTGGCTGTTTACCAGGTTAGCCCTTTACACCCCAATATCCAATATCCAAATTCAAATACTCCAAACTGGTTTCCATGCAATGACTTAAAGAATTTGTTGAGAGAATTCAGGGGCACCCAACGAGAATATAGTTAAAAAACACTTAAACATAGCATTGGTAAACGTATTTTAGTATTTAAACGGTAGATATAAGCAAATTTTTATCCCCTAAAAATTTTTCATCTGTTCGAACTTCGTAGCTGAAAGTCTAGTGGTCCGAAAATTATAGGGATCAAAACTTACCTTTTCGAAAATTTCAGCCAGAAAAAAAGCTCCCGAAAATTCTAGGTGACCTTTTTAGGGTAAAAATCCGTTAAAATGGGCAATTATACCTGTTTTTAGATGTTCGAAAATCCTAGGAGAGGCCGGCAAGCAAGAAATATTACAACAAATGTTCCGAAAATTCCAGATGTCAAATCGTCTTCCTAACAGATATTTTCCGAAAATTGACGTTGGGTGCCCCTGAGAATTTGACAAAAGGTCAAAGAATTCTCCATTAGGGGATTATGTATTGATACTGTTAAGAGAATATTTATGGCGGTCACTCGCTGGACTTAAAAGTTAACGATCGTTAAAATGTAAATGTTGGATATATTATCATATATGCTCATATGCTCACGTGACTAAACAAGCTTATCGGATTAACTGCAATTTCGACTCTCGCCTTTTTGGCAATAAGGACTGTGCAAAACGCTACAAATGGCACACTACAACACCAACACATCATTCTACAGAGAGACAGCGAACGAATACAAGGGTCATCAAGGGTCTGATATTCAGTACAGTTGACTACTGATAACTCGAACCTTCCGGCGCTAACTCGAACCAAAGTCGATTTCCCTTGGATTTCCTTCATACATTTACTGTTATTTTACCCAATGTAACTCGAAATTTACCTAAAATTTTTTACTTGCTTGGTGGCTACCCACCAATCAAATCGGCATTGAAAGAAGACTCCTTCCGTTAAAGAAAATCCTGGATGGACGTGCACCGGATTATCTTTCTGATATACTGTTATCTTTGAAATATCACAAGTCACATCATATACAAGGTCTCGGTTGCATTGAAGCGAATGTTCGTTTATAATGCAGTTAAACTGTAAATGTCAGTGACAATGATTTAGTCCGCTCTTCTGATGTAAAGAAGTTCAAAAGAAATTACTTTGATTCAGTAGTTATGTTTAAATTTACGACTGGTAGCTTTAAAATTGACATATTTTTGAGCTTTTTAAATGAGTTATATTTTAATAATTTATTATCTTTAAATTCGAGTAAATTCTCGCCTGAGAGCTTTAGAATTGACAGAACGGCGTTTTTAGCTTTCTTAAACTTGATATTTAAATTATTTATTACCTTAGTATTTTAGTATTTAGGGATTTTAGTATTCTTAATAGTAGTTTCAAGGGGCCTTAAGGGAGAATACAGTACAACTGTAATTGTGCACCCTGTCACACTATTGAAATAAAGTGTCATTCATTCAACCCTCGATAACTCGAAGCAATCTTTGTTGGTATTTAAAATGAGACTAGGCTTAAAGCTAAAAACTCTCTACAACTCTAGTGATGTCTTGTTTTGTCTGTTCCTCGTCCCCATTTCCCGTTCCTTGTTCTCAAGTTTATAACTTTCTTTTCATTTGGAGGCGTTTCAGAGTGCATCTAAGTAAAAAGTGATTTGCGTGGCGTTTATCCACAAGCACGGCATGAATTTTAGCATTATCGAAAAAAAAAAGAAAATTTGAAGGATAACAACCCTTGCCTCCCAATCACAGTTGAAAGGGTTTCCATACCTTACAAATTTAGTGAGCGCTAGTTAATTTCGATTTTTTTTCACTTTGTCATCAAAACATTAAAAGTGTGCTAGCCATGCGGTTCGAAATTTCCTTACTTCCCATAATCTTTTTTAATGGCCCCGACTGTAATCTAGATAGTGGAAGTTGCAGGTAGTTGGTCAGTATGTTGGGTGTTTGGCTGTTTCGAATAAGTTCACCAGGTGGTCGGTCAGGTGATTTAGTTTTTGACATCATTACTGGCTAAATGATGGCTCAGGGACGGACCATTAGCAGAGTTATGTCGGGGGGGGGGGGGGGGAGGGGATTTTTGGAGCCGGGGGATTTTTTTTGGTTTTTAAATTCTTTTTTGTAATTTTTTTTTAGCCCTGGGGGGTATTTTTTTTTAGTTTAATTGTGGGTGAGAAATTTTTTTTTTTTTTTTTTTTCCTTAGTGCAAAATTTAGTTTATGGTGAAATTTGTTTGGTGTTTTGTGTTGGGTGTGTTGTGTATGTTGAGAGAAAGATATACGAGGGGGTTGGGTGAAGATTTGATTTTGTTTTATGTAGTAAATTAAAGCCTGGGTGAGGGCGGAGCCGCCCTGCAGGAGGGTGTGGGGGGGGGGGGGGGGGGGTAGAGGAATTTTCGAGCCGCGGGAATTTTTTTTCGTTATCAAATTCCTTGTATGAATTTCTTTTAGGCCATGGCGTGAATATTTTTTAGGATTAATTGGCGTGCAAGAATTTTTTTTCATTTAATTTTCCCTTGCGCGAAAATTTTTTTTGTACTTCGCCCGCCCCCACCATAAGTTTTCTAATGGTCCGTCCCTTAAATGGTTTTGGTAAGCTATTTTTAAACTGATTGACAAGAACATTTCTGTTAGTAGATGAGCCTTGACATTAACTTTAACACTTATTACAAAATAAATAAATGTGTCATTACAATTCACGACAGCTTTGCTTATTACAAATTACGACAACGTGTTATTACAGTTCTCTTAACCCGAGACTAAAGCCCCAGACCGCAAAAAAGATATAACGACCAGGGGTAATTTACAAGTGAAGCTATTGCTTGCAGAGTCTAAAAAAACGGCTACACGTGTAAACGTTCTATTAAATTGACCCCAGCAAGCCCTTTTGGTCCTGTGACCTGTGGCCTTCTTAGTTTTCTTAAAAGTGGAAACAGTTGCATAAAAATAGAGTTCAGTTCCCAATGGACTGCTTTGCTTATTGCAAAATAAACAAATGTGTTATTACAATTTTCGACAGCTTTGCTTATTACAAATTACGACAACGTGTTATTACAATTTACGATAGCGCGGTTATTACAATTCTCGACAACTGTTATTACAATTTACAACAGGTATTACAATTCACGACATTATTACAACTCACAAGAGAAAACATGATGCTTGCAGCCCTCCCCATAGCCTGTGTACAGACCCCCCCCCCCTCCCCTCAGTGAAAATCGGAGAAGGGCCCCTTCTCCGATTTTTACAGAGGGGAGAGGGGTCTGTACACAGGCTACTTTTCCCATCCATTTACTTATTTCCTTATTTCCGGTCAATTACTTCGAACTCCCGATATCTCGAACTTTTTCCCTGGAAGGTTAGACTAACAGGGAGTCGACTGTATTTCTTTACCTTTTAAATTAGGCGTCCGGTTCAAACTTTAAAAGGGGAAACACTCAATAACACAATATCAAAACCATGCACCAACACCCCATAGGACCGGATCACTCAGTAAATAAAGTTGTAACGAGAAATTCTAGCTCTTTTTTTGTTTCTTTTAATCCCAGATGCACTTGAGATTGTTCTACGTTAGCATGTTTAATTTACACTATTCAGTAATCATTCAAAACAAACATTTTGCCGTTTCTGATTCGACTCAATCTACAACCAGCTAACGCTTACTATATTTGGAAGGTGCGAGCGATATACCATCGATTCGATGGTATATTGCCTAATACCCATCGATCAACCTCGTTTCCAGGCGCACCAGCGAAAATGTTATTCCCCAGTGAACTGAAAAAATGTTGTTAATGGCTATCTGAGGGCGAAATAGCTAAATTTTCACTAAAACTGAACGAAAAGAAATGCAAGAATACGCAAATCATGTTGCTCTATGGAATTATCTACATTTTGTTTGAGAAGCATCTGTGAGAAAAACAGGTCGGTGTTTATATCATGAAATCGTGTGGAGAAATAGGCCAATGTTTTGAAGAAAGTCTACGAGGAGGTAAGCTTGTTTTAACTGCATAATCAAACAATTATACATTTAGTGACCGAAACCGCGCTGGCCATCAGATCTAGACAGGTGGTCACCTTTAGCAGTAACAGAGAGATTAAGATTCACGTTAACGCCAAACGTCAGATTCAAGATGAAAATTTCTCAGAGTAGAAAATAAGCAGATAAAAACTGTCCAGAACAATTCTTATGTATAAAACGGACGTGAAACTGCTTATTTTTTTAGCTGAAGTAATAAACAATTAACGACAATTAAGGACAAAACTTGGTCACGTGGTACAAATTAATCTCTCTAATGTCGCTAAGTCCCTTTGACGACTATTTTTGTTAAACCAAAATATTGACACCACTATCCAGTTGTGTTTTTCTAGTTCAGCTATGTAATGTAAATAGAAGATTAGTTTCACCCGCTATATGAGAGGGACTTAACTCGCTTCTATTTTTTTCCTACTTACTTCGTACAGCCAGACCGAGGATTTAGCTCCAGTTGTCCTTTCATCAATCGACCTAGGTGAGAAACATAGAAGGGGAAGTTATTCTTTCCGTCAACCATACCTTCAAAGGAAAGATATTCCGGAAAGATCTTCGTCATCTACGGGCTGTTGCCTTGTGTTAGCACACTAGCCTGCGTAGCAAGCGTTTCTGTGCGGTTTAGGAGAAAAGAACGAGGAACGAGGGTCAAAGACCGCGCGAAAAATGGCGCAAGTAAGAGAGCGGGGAGGGGGTGGGGAAGAAAGGTTTCCTTCCTTCCCCTCCCCCCTCTTTCATTTTTTGGCTCTCGGTTCATTTCTCGCGCGGTCAAAACCGAAAATCCCCTTCCTCGCTTTTTTTTTGCTCCGAAACTAAACGGAACCGCCTTCTACGGAGGCTATTAGCACACAAACCTCTCGTGATGCATGTAATTAGAACAACTTGTACAAGATCAATAAACGAGCCGTAATCCAGAGAGACCTATACCTCCCGGTTAGAGAGTTGATTAAAAAAAATTACGACGCAGAACAGCGCTTCCCCGATATAAGGCGTTTTTAAAACGTAGAGAACCTGAGCTTGGTTCTTGTTTAAGTTGTGAAGACATTAAAAAAAATGTAAAAAATACTCAGAACAAATTAATTTTTCTGTATTAGTACACTGGCTTTCTTTTTTTGGTTATTCGAGTTGTATATACAGTTGAATCTCCCCACAAAGGCCACCCTGGGGACAGAAGAAAGTGACCGTTGTAGAGAGGTTTAAACAAGAGTCAATGTATGGAATGTCTTCCGAAAAAACTGGTCGTTGTAGAGTAAGGCTGCGTGCAAACGGACGCAATAACTCCCAACATTGTTGCGTGCGTGTTGGCAGTGGTGTGCAAACGGATGCAACAAATCCCAACAATGTTGGGACCTGCAGTGCATCGTGGGAAGGATACAACCCATAAGTCTTTGTAAACCAAGCGTAATGAGCGTGCGTGGCTCCCACAATGTTGGAAGAGCTGTGCAAACGGATCCAACACTGTTGCGCTCATAGGCGTACGGGCAATTTTTTGTCAGAGGGGGCGGTAAACTATTTGCCCAAAAAATTCTCGCAAGTTGCCCAAATTTTTACGAAACAGTAGAAAAGAAACGAGGGCCATACGATGCAACAACGTAGGCCGCACTGGCATATGAAGGTGGCTCGATACTGTAACAGTTTTTCAGGGTCAATACCTCCCAATTTTGAGCATAACTACGTCGCCATAGACAAACATTAGGAAAAATTGCTACCATAGTTTTATTAGATACAGATGAAAATTTATCATAGGGTTTTAATGACATTGGAGTTGTCATAGCAACGAAATGACGCCATTGTCTATTTTACCTGCAGCAATATTTCTTGGCACTGGGAACTGTTCCTACAAAATCGTTCACGGGAACTTTTTCCTCCAATATTCGCGTCGATGTTCGTGAAGTTAAAACGGAATCTATAAAAGAGTTATCGGGATATTTTGGGATGAAGTTTTAGAAATATGCTAAAAAAAATCTTGATGTTTGGCGGTTATCTGTAGAAAACGAATCTCTTTTGACATGCAATTTCTCCTCATAGTAGCTTCAATCTTTTTAAAGCTCCGGCCGATCGCCAGAGACAAGGATTCCATTTTATTAGTATGTATCGAGGCGCTCTTGTTAGCGGTTTTGTAAACATTTCGGTCTACTTTAATAAATTATTGCTTGATAGATTATTAAAAAAATTTAATATTCTTCTCGAAATTCGAGCTGAGTACTAGTCAGCCACTTCTTCATTTTCACACCCACTGTTGCTGATGCTATCTGCCATACACTGTTCTACGGGCGGAGATGATTCTAGAAAGATATGCGGAAGTTTATTCAAATCAATTCACGACTGGAAAGAGCCCATTCCAGTCAGTGCAGTGCAGTACAGTGCTCAACAATAAAAAACTATAAATATGTAAATCAACAAATGATACTCTTCCCTATGACCAGAAACTCATCACGTGCTAAGCAACCACTGTGAGTGTCTCGAGAGAATGTAACTGGATTATTACGCTGACTTCAGGATTTTTTTCAGATTAAAATAGAAAATATTTGTCTCTTTAAACTAATAAAGCACGGAAACGTCTTTAAAAAATGGCTTTGCCCAAATTTTCTCTTGCTGCCCAAAAAATCGGGGTTGCCCAAAATTTGGGGGGGCTGCAGCCCCCATCGACCCCCCGGCCCGTACGCCTATGGTTGCGCTACGCTTCGGCGATCACGGAACAAAAGAAATGTTGGGAGTTGTTGGCTGAAAAGTTTGACCGGTTTCAAACTGTGCGCAACAACACGCAACGACATCCAACAACATGAAACAGGGTGTGCAAACGGACGCAACATGTAACATCCAACAATGTTGGGAGTTGTTGGCCAACAATGTTGCGTCCGTTTACACGGAGCTTAAGAGAGGTGGCCGTTGTGAAGAAGTGGCCGTTAGTGGACTTTCGACTGTATAAAAATATATTACATATCAAGGAAGCAACTAATATTAGATGATAAAAATGAAAAATGTAGGAAACACTTATTACAGAAACTAAAAAAATGCACTGTTTTGAATTACCGTAGGTTGCTAGGTTTTTCAACGTTCATTTGCATAGCGACTCTCCGATGTGTTACACGACTCTTATTTATATCACCAACAGAAAAGACCAGCTGGCGGAGTGGAATTGTCGGGAAGAGATTATAACTCTTCATGTTTAGGTGTTTTTTCCTTTCCTTACGCAGACTTTGACGTAGCGGGTTTTCGGAAATTAATACTAGGAAACTTTCTCCAAGTAAAACTTAAACTTTTTTTCTCGTTAGTTACAACTGCTATCGTTAGCTACATGCTTTCTGCTTGCAAAGGGAGGGAGGTTTGTTTCAACGCCCACGTCATATTTATAATAGGTTAAATGAGCCCTCTTTTTGACAATGCAGACTTTGTCTGGAGAAGCACGATTCTTACACTACAACTCCAGGTTTTTTCGAATGGGAGCGGAAGGGGGTGCGGGGAGGCAAGAGTAGCCTTGATGCCCTCAGTGGTGGATCCAGGGGAGGGGCCCGGGGGCCCTCCCCCCTTATTTTTAGACCAAACCGAGGCCCGAAGGGTCGAAAAAAAATTTGAGACCGGGCCTCCCCCTTATCTCAGGGTCTGGATGACCCCCCCCCCCCCACTCCCCTATCCGAAGGTCTGGATGCGCCGCTGGCCCCGATGAGATTATCTACTTCTCCCTGAGCTTAAGGTATCTCTGATACAAATCGGCGCATTTTACCGAGTAACGATAGATTCAAAATTTCTTCATGGTAAAATTAATTTTAGTTTTAGTATTAAATGTATTCAAGACGCACATGATTGTAACAATAGAAGAAAGGTGGACGATAGATTTCCGTGCATAATGGTAACTGGGCTTACAGGATTTTTTTTTTGTACTCGCAACTTTGTTTTTTACTGACGACAAAATTTATAAAAAGAAGTCTCGATTGTAGAAATAGTCGCGAGTACAAGAAAGGCATAGACCGTACAAAAGATGATGCTTTAAATAAAATAAAATATGGACGATGTCCCTTCAAGGCCACCCCACTAACACTATTAGAAATATTACATCTTGCAAATATCTTCATGGCTAAGTTAGTTTTAGTTTTAATGTAAACATCTGGTAGAGAAGAACATGACTACATAACTCTTAAAGACACATGGACATTAGATTGCTGTAAAATAAGCGAAAGTGGGGCCGAAATAGATTCCATTACTCTATTTTTAGCAAGAGGAACACTTTGAATCCCCCTCTTCGGCCGGATATTACGTCTTCATACTTTTTTTAGAGGACGGTTTAAAAATATCATGTAGTCTACGAATAATTTTATTATCATTTTTACCTTTTTTGACATTCCCAGGTGATGTATTTTTATTTACACTATCCCCCATTTCTCTCTGATATTTTATTTATTTATAATCCTCAAGACCTCTCTGATACCACTATTGCTGATTCACAAGTGGCGTCATCAAAATCAGTTCTTCGGAGTTCTTACTTTTATGAGGGATTAAACAAGCGAAAAAATATATACTTCTACAGTTTTTTTGGTCGAAAGCTGTCATACAGGTTACAAAAATGACTTATCTTTTAAAATTCTGCTATTAATTTCACGCCGCCTGGCGCTTCAGGCCGCCATATTAGTTTCCTCAGAAAGCCACCAGCATGGCGTCTCCAAACGAAGCACCAGAGATTTGCGTTCAACATTCATCTGAGTATGTAATATAGCAAAAATCGCAAAGGCCTGAATTGTGGCTAGGCATTTAGCTTATCAGTTTATCCTGAATAAATGCTATTATTTATCATTATTGCTATTAACTCTAATAAAGGGAGGAACCGCGATTCGAAAACAACTCCAATTTTGTCGCCGAACTCATTTTGACATAGATGCATCATCTAGTTGACCTTTACTGAACCAAGGTGATGCGCACGCACATTATGGCGTAATTCAAAATGGCGCCGAAAATGTAGACGTACGATGAAAACAGTTGCTTTCACCTCTCAGTACAGAAGAATTAAATACCACAGGAGTCCCAAGATTAAGTATTGCGTTCTCCTAACGTCTAACACAATTACAAGCAACAAGCATTTCGTGTAAAATTGAAATCTAGCTGAAAGTTTGATCAAGGCTGTTATTATTGAACTAATTGCTGGTGGTTGTTGTTGTTATTATTATTATTACAACTATTATCATTATTATTATTAATAATTTAAATATTATTATTATTATTATTATCTTCATTATTATTGTTGTTATTCTTTTTACTACTCTTTAATCTTACATTTACCTACGCGCCGCTCTTACGTATTAACCAAAAAAGAGCGGAAAAGAGTAATAGCAGGGCGGATTTACTACCAAAACAGGGCTTGGTTACGCAGCTAGGGAGGGTGAGGGTGGGACGGGGGAAGGGGGGGGGGGGGCGAAAGGTGTTAGTGAAAGAAAATACAAACTTGAAGCAGCGAGCGAGTGAAAATTTTGCGATATTAATGCTGAAACATTTTGTTTCATAAGATATTACATGGATTGGGAAAACGTGACTTGCAAAATGCATAGTCATTCAAAGTAGCTTTTTTTATTATCTCTGAACATTTCACACAAACACAATTGACAGAAATTGCTCGATGACGTACACGCTTAATAAAGCTGCTTACGGACCTGTTAACTCACTGACATTTGATTAAAATTTTGACCGCTTGTCGGAACTCTCTCCTATAAAAGGAGTAAATAAAGGGATTCGTCGACGATTGAAACAAGAGAAAAGTAACCGACAATTTCCGAAGAAGTAGCGTTACTAGATCAGGACGATCGAACAAGTAAAACAGATAGTAGAATGTTCGTGGGAGCCAACAAACTACAAAAGTTAAAACCACTAGTGCACAAGAAAGGGTCCCTTTTCGTATCTGAAGATAGTGTAAGCGATATTTCCGTCTCCACCAATATCTGTAGATTTTTCCGTATGAAGTTGCTACTTTTAGCCTCTGTCGTCTAATGGCGGTGAAAATTGCGGCATTGATGGCGATGACGATAAGAATTGGGACAAAAACAAAAATAAAAAGTAGACAGTACGAATAAATTCTGTTCCATTCCTCCACTACATCGCTAGGTTGTGAGTGTGACCATATGTTTCGGATTAAGGCAAGACAAACTGGTGTAATCCAGACCGCCAGCAAAATCAGGCGAAATTTCCTCAGCGACATTTTCGTTTGATATTTAAGCGGCTGGAAAATAGCCATGTATCGATCATAAGAGATGGCGAGAAGATTGAAAGTTGAGTTCAAGAAGCAGATGTCTTTACCACCTTCAAAGAGCCAGCAAAGTTTGCTCAAAGAGTATACACAACCTGTACAGAATGCAGCATACCCAGGGGTTACTAAGACTGCCATTAGAGCATCGCAAATAGCCAGACTTAACAGAAATAGATTCATGTAGCTCCGTCTGAGGTTTTCAAAGCGAAGAAATGCAGCACAAGTCAGGAAATTTCCGATAACTATGATGGTTCCAATGGCTCCGTTTATGAACCAGAAAAGAAAATCCAGTTCTCTGCTACAGTTTTTATCGATGATACGACCTCCAAGGCTCTGAAACGTGGGCAAACTTAGAAAACCAAGTGGCATCAAAGAGGAATTATTCGCAAAACCTTCAGACATCGCTGAGATTGCAAGTACCGAGGGCTGATTCGATCGTACTTCACTAAGAAATGGCGAACAGCTACTGAGATCTATCAGCCGGTGGAAGTTAATTAAGTTTGTACGTTTAAGATCAATTAGCCAGAGTTTTCATTCAAGGAAAACCGGGCTGCCAAATTAAAACATTAAGGGACGCTGGCATAATTTATAGAAGCTGCTTTCAGTTGCTTATAGAGACGGCAAAGCAAATAACAGACGCATTAAGAATGAAAGATAAATTTGGTGGTAAAATAATATGGTTTTGTTGAAAAAACTTCCGTTGTTTTGTTACCAGCTGTAAGCAAGAACCCGAGCTCCATTTTAAACATGTTGTTTGACTACAAACCAAAACAAAGTGAAAAGAACAAAAAACAATACCACGTAAATAGCTCTCTACAACGAAACCATCCAGTCAACAACTACTGGGCGGTAGTGTTTATTCGGCATTTGGCCGGTACAGCTGACCAGAAGGTCATAACATCAAGCGCCTTTTAACCGCTTCACCGTCCAATCCAGGACACTCTTATATTACCTTAGCAAGATCACGCGTTCTAGAGTTCACGTGAGGTTGTAGAATACTGCTTACTCCCATAAGCGACTGCTTCCCATAAGCGACCGCCTATCCAAAAACACCAAAATTTTCCCAGTCAAAGCCTTACAAATGGTACCTCTAGTAAACGACCACCTCCTGTAAGCGACCGCGACCATTTTGGGGCCTAACGGTTAATGATTTTCCATTTTTTTTAACCTCTTGGAAGGAGCCACTTGATGCCTTCTCTGATCTCTATATTCGCTGTGCGCACTATGCTACTTAGAATATACGAAGAACTTTAGTCACAACATGGAACTACACATGTCGTAACTTAGACATTGCAAGCAATAAATTATATTCCATAAAGTAGATGTGCCTAGACCTCTTCTCGGAAAATGCCCCCTGTGATTCGATTCTTGTAAACGACCACCTCCCGTAATCGACCACTCACTCTTTGCATTTTGGGTGATCGCCTACGGAAGGTTCGACTGTACTTCATTAATTTTCACAACCTTTTGTCTTGATAGAGAGGAGAAGTCGTTACGTCACGTTGTCATGGTAGCAAAATTTTTGGATGACAACAAACCGAAAATTCACTTAAAAAGTAAATTCGTACTTTTTCAAACCTCATCGATCTTATTCAATTTCATTTAATTTGTCGAATGTTGGCGACATTTTCTGGATTGAATTCGAAAGGACCGTATCTGAGTTTAGAAAAAGAAAAAACAAACTTTTTGGGTCTAGTTCACCTACTCCATAAAGCGGGCGCGTGGAAATAGGAAGTTTCATGTCGTAGTCGTGCAAGGATGGCTAAAATGTATGCAAAAAAGTTGTTGTTTTACTAATATAAACTTATTGCTCTTTTTGCCGTTTTCCGTCTTTGTTGCCTAAGCTCCCTTTTGTTGTGATCCAAAAGTTTTGCTACCATGGTAACTTAACGTCACACTTCTCACTATTGTCGTCACTGGTTAAAAACACGTTCAATGCAAACCTGTGATGTAAAGGAAAAGCGAACACGAATACCAAGGATAAAGAACAGCCAAAGCCTTAGGGTTTCGCCTATTTTTTTTAAGAACTGTGCTTGCTTTCTTTTCTGCTTGCGCGCCCATCTAACGGAGAGCTTTTGGAAAGGAAATCTCGCCTACACCCGTGCCACCGAATGTTTTTCAGTTACAAGAATGGCCAGGTTAGAGCTATTTCAGTTAAAGCCCATTTCGATGCACCTACTGATCCAATCTTTAAAAATATTGGTATTTTAAAATTTCATGGTTTACAATCACTAAATTGCCTTTGTGTCGAACTCTTATCAAACACTTTTCTTTTCTTTCTCTCTTTTTTTTATCAAGGACCTAAATTTTACAACACCTTAAACACCGATATCGCCAACGCGTCCTCTGCTGTCGCCATTATTTAATTTCACCTTGTAAAATTATAGATCGTTTTCACTGTCACCCAACGAACAAATAAATTGGAAACCGTCCAGTAGAAGAAGCCAAGAAAATGAAATGTTATAAAAGACTAATTTATAAACAATTTGTCCAAGTCTCAGGTCTTTGTGACCCACAGTTTCCGAGTTATTTGCCGAAACGTTTCACGCACCCTTGTAGAGCTTTGTATGGAGACACCATATTGGTGCACCATTTTGGTGCACCAATATGGCCGCCGGAAATCAACAAAAACATCTGGAATTCACTTTTTCTATAGCTCTTTTTTTTCACTCGAGAACTAGAATACGTGCGCATAAACATATCTTCTAAAACTTGAAATGGTTATAATGCTGAAAATGAAGAAAAGAGACTTTTTTTCAACGAGAAAGCATTTCTATTTTGGTGTCACGCACAGTGAAAACCTGGAAGTTCAAATTGCTCCATTTTCGAAATGAAACATGCTTCGGGAATGGAAACTTGTACAAAGATTTATTTTTTGTTTATCTTCAACGTAGTACAAATAAGAATCCGTAAAACCTAGCTATTTTGACTTTACAATTTGATGACGTCACTGTGAAAACCATCTATAACTGAGAAGGCCCACCTAACGTAAACTACACAGATTCCCCTAGGCCTTCTCGCTATTCTTTTCTTCATTATTTCTTTTGTAGTGTGTGGCAAAATAAAATGAAATAAAAATTCTGCCCAGAAGGTTTCGATTTCAATCAAGTTTCCGTTTTCATTTAAGACCCGCTGGCTTGATGGGGAAGTCACTGGACCATCCTCGTGCCGAATAAAAGCTATGACAACTTATAGAGAGTTTTCACATGACGTCACGGCGGCCATGTTGTTGTTCCGAACCAGTGTGGGAGAATGTGTGGGAGTTAAAATCTTTACTTATGCAAACGCTTTCTTTTGTTCCTATAAATTTGCATAGGCGCTGGCTACGTGTGTGAAAACACTCTTGTAAAAAGAACCTAAAGCCGAGCTCAAAAGGTTCTCAAGCGCGAAGCACGAGCGGGAGATTTTTTTGATGTTTTCTGCGATATTCTAGTGAACTTGTCAGATACATTGCACGTTGTGGCAGTTCATCCCCTGAAGCAAGCTGATTCAAAGAGAAGCTCTAAATGTTTGAAACAAGGGTTCTATTTACAAGGGTAGCTACAATCCAAAATTGATGTAAACTAATAAATCTCAAAATAGTCTGAAATGCCAGCCGTCTTCACTCCCTAACCCCTGGGGGAGGGGGGGTGGAAAGTTCCTTCCCCGCGCCCCCCAGGGGTTAGGGCGTGAAGACGGCCGACATTTCAGATTACTCTTCCGAAGGTAACAACATCCCTGACAGTAGCGAACAAAGAACAAATTTACAATCATAATTATCAATAACCTACAGGAGTATTAGTTTAAAAGGAGTTATCTATTGATCGAGATATATCAGTATACAGCGTTTTCACACGACGTCATGGAAACTGCGGCCTCGTTTGTGTTCCAAAATAATCTCGTGGGAGTTGAACGCTTCTCAGCTGGCTTCTCTTATGCAGTGGTGTAGCGTTAGATTTTGAATGTGTACGCACGGGAAAAGTTAAGGCGCCGAGGGCGATTCTAAATTTATGGACTCGGAAATGCCATTTTTCTGCGTTTTCTGCGAGAAATTTTCAGTGAATAAATACTAAGAAAAATGCAGTACTTAGTTGTTTATTTTAGCCATCTCTATTGTTATCCGTAAGGTACACTGGGGACTGGTGAGGCTGACACTGTGAGGTGGCAGGGAAGGGAATATTTTTTGTTTTTCAAACCACCATAATGTTTCTTGCCGTCCGTTTATAGAATGATAAAAGGAGAAAGGAAATACTAACACAGACACCAACATCATACTAAAAATTTATCAGTCATCGTGAGTTAATGATAAAAATGCTTACAGGAACAATAATAATAATAATAATAATAATAATAATAATAATAATAGTAATAATAATAATAATAATAATAATAATAATAATAATAATAGTGATAATAATGGCGGCAACACGCTCAAAGACGGCAACACGCTCAAAGACGTACTCTGATTCAAAACGTGGAAATTTTGAGGAAGACGATGTCCAAATGCCCCTTAAACTAGTGAAATAGGTCAGACAGAATGCAACCTAAGTACCCTAACACCTTATATCTATATTTTCCTCTAAACACACTTATATACTTAAATAAACGACTTTTTTCGTTATTTCTTAAATGCCGCCTAGTATTTAAATTGCCCGTGGGGGGAAATCTCTATTCCTCGTTAGCTCGGCTTCTCGGAGATTTCCCCGCCACAGTCACTCCTCCCAAGTGACGTACAAATTTTAAATTTAATGTAATTAACCTATTTATTAACGTTTTTATTCTGCTTGTAATTCAACGTGTGTGGCAAAATAATAAATAAATAAAATAATATTGATAATAATCCACCTACAAACTGATTGGCATGACTATTCCATCAGATAGAAACCTCGCACTGAGGGAAATCGAAAAGAAAAGCAAGTGCAAAGACCTAGACCTAGAAATATAGAGAATGTGGCAGAAGAAAACCGAAGTGATCCCTGTGGTTGGTGGTGGTCTTGTTACAGTAAAGAAGGGTTGGTAGAAAACATCGAGAAAGAATCAAAGATATACTGTGATAGAGACCCAAAAGATCTGCATGCTGGGATCTGCACGAATCCTCAGGAAGGTGCTTAGTGTATGAACAGTATGGTTGACTTGAGTGACTGATGCTCCAGGTGCATGGTTTGCGCCCGGCTGATGCACAAAAAGAACACCAGCAAAGACTGTGACAGAAGAGATAATATCAATAATAATAATAATATTAAATCCAGATAAAAAAATTCCAGATCAGATAATAACAATAAATCCAGATTTCAGCAGTACGCAAGGGCGAATGTGCGTATATGGGCGCCACGCCCCTGTTATGTAAACGCTTTATTTTGTTGCAATAAATTTGCGTAGGTGCTGGCCTCGTGAGTAAGACGCTCTTTAAGCCATTCAAATAAAGCGCATATGCTGATAAAATAGAGCAAAATGAATAAAAAATCATATAAAATTCACGAATTCATAATTTGAGAGGCAATTCTGAATGCAATGGGAAGAAGAGGCTGTTTTTAGATCCACAGTTTGCTGGATCGAAAAAGGCGAGAAACCAAAGAGATCCTTTCCAATTTTCATACAGAAAATTAATTTATAAATTATTCATTATTATTTATTATTATTATTAAAGAATTAATTAACTTATTTTAAGCTTAAAACTAAATGTAGAAAAAAAATAGCAAACGTTAACCCAATTAACAAGACTTACTCACGTCCAGAATTTCTACAAGTCAGCAAACACGGTTCCATGACAACAAAACTATTGGAAACTTGACTTTTCTATTGGCGTGCTGCTTACCACGCTTCAATCTTTTGAGAATAATTTATTTCCGGGGGAGGAAGGCTTAACCAAAAAATTTATGAAATTTTCGTTTACTCAATTGGCGACCAAGGAAAGTCCTCCAAGGTTTTGCCTTGAGCCCCTTGCTTTTCGCACTAGCGGTGGTTGAAATTTTAGCATCATGAGACGGGACAGGCCTTGCTATGTTATAAACCTCCCCGGAAACAAAGAATCTAAGATTTCTAATCTGCGGACGACACAACTTTAATTGTCAACGATGTCAATTCTTTATCAATTTCAATTATTCAGTTTTGAAGGATTGAGATTGAGATTTATGTAATAAATGGGTATTCTTTAACCCCCCTTTGATCACCCTATCAGCTAAAACACGTCATGGAGTCATTTACCACTTTTACTGCTTCGGCCATCGTTGATCACATTATTTTATACTACTTTCCGCAACAACACTTTGCAAAATGGCTAGGTATGACTTGCAATTGCTTTTGAGGTACAGAAATAGCATTTGGAATAAAGAAACAGAAATGAAATATCGTTCATGCACACGTTACCCGTGAGTTTTACAGGTTCTTACACAGAGGATGAGCCAAATTTTCCTTGGGAAAATAATCTTATTTTACAGAAAAGTGTGGTTGGCGTAGACAAGGCAATGAATTTCGCGTGAATTTGAAGGACTTTTCAAGACCTAATAAAGAAATCAAGTACTTTTTAAGGACCTTAACTGAATTCAAGGACTTTTCAAGACGACTAGTAAAATTCAAGACCTTTTCAAGATTGTACGAACCATGGCATATGCATTTCTGCCAAACATTTGTTATTATGGATGCTTTTGGTTGACTTTGTTTAACGTGACACAACTAGTGATCCTGGGTTACCTGTGCTTTAACGAGCGTTTATGTGAGAAAAAAAATTGACCGCCCGGCCAAAGCCAAGAGCTGATAACAGCGCTCACAAGTTCTCTGATTGCCTTGTCTTGACCAAGTTGACCGGCCGGCTTGGCAAGGCAAAGCGTTTATATGGAGAAACGTTGGCCCAACTAGGAGTCATCCTTCTGGCCAGACTTGTCCCCAGTCGCTATTTAAGTGTTTTTCGGGGTGAGAGAAGATTGGGGATTAGGTTGAGGCGCGCGCGGGGTCTCATGGGAAGAGACCCCGCGCGCGCCTCAACCTAATCCCCAATCTTCTCGCACCCCCAAAACACATAAATAGCGACTGGGAACGAGTCTGCCTTCTGGCCGAGTCAACTTTTTGTCTCTCACTGAAGTAAACGGTTCGCCACGTTTTCCAAGTAAGTGTAACAACAGTTAACTCGCCCAGGGTAGCTTTGGTAGACCCTTCTACAGGGGACAAGTTTTCTCCATATAGAGCCATTTCGAGAAAGGTTGTCTGAAAAAATGTGCACGCAACAATCCCGAAAGGTGATGTGGGATAAGATCAATACACTGTTTGTGACATCGTAGCCGTTGATTCTGCTCTTGTTGCTTTCCTTTAGCACTCCCAAACATACGTCAATGGGGCCTCTCGTGCCATTCTTTCAAATTTCTTTGAAGCGCAGTGAACTTTTTTCCACCCACAATACCTTTTGGGAGTGTCGCGTGCACTTTTTCCGAGAACCTTTCTCGAAATAGCTGTAAACGGCGCCTGATTCCAGGGTTCGATGTTAAAGTTGTCATTTTTAATGTTAGAGTTTTTCCCTTATGATTATAAATACTACCTACCATACACTCCTAATTTACTAGACTGTTTAAAAGTTAACTAAATAGATTCTACGTGCTTGAAAACTGTGATTGCGAAATTGTCGGCGCCATTTGCTAACATAATTTTGCTCGGACTCGAAGGTTTTCAACGCAAAAAGCTCACTAAATTGAGAAACATGAAAAGATAATAATATTAACTTACTATTTACCTTGTCCCTGTTTCCAATTTTATGAAAAGAAAGCTCACTAACGAACTAAACAACTCGAATGTTTTATCGTGGTGAGTCACAAACCTCAATACGATAATAGAAAACAAATTTCCAGTTTCCCTACAAACGAAAAGTTAATAATAGTGGAGCTTTATATTCTATCACTAACTTCAGTCTTTATATTAGTTTTTTACATTCTTTTATATTCGCTCTTTATATTCTCTGCCCGGGAGAGTGTCATAAAATGTTCGCAGATTTTTTGTTTCACTTGATGGCGCATTAATCTTGGATAAAGACTCCATGTAAGCTTTGATGAAATGAGTCTTTCCAAAGCGCTCCTTTAATAGATCAACTGCCTTTTTATAATTTTCTTTAGTCAGTGGCAGTCCAGAGATAGTGTGCGCAGCGCCTCCTGTAAGCATTTCGTTTAGATAATTCATTTTCTTCACATCACCCAGTTGAAGATTTTTACCGATAGCTACGCTAGCGCTAAAGCTGTCCCGGAATGTAAGCCATTCAAGGGGGTATCCTCCAAAGGATTTTATGTTTAGCTTGGGTAAATTTACATGCATTCTTGCGGTTGGTGTTTGTTTTGAATCACTATATTGGAATTGGCTAACCGGTATATCTTGTTTGGAGGTGTGCGATTTTGAATTGCTAATATGATATATTGTCTTGAAACGATAAGGCTGATTCCGTGTCTGTTTGGATTTCTTCGTCTGTCTCCAATGACATCGCAATTTTTGTATCCATCCGTGTTATTTCTATACCTCTTCGTGTAAGTCTGTCCACCAGTGCTTCCAATTTTGTTTGGTCTGGGGTCTCTGATATTATCAGTTTTTCGGCCCTTTTAAAAATGTTGTGAACAGTGTCCTTTGTACGCGGCCCGGATTGACTTCATTTTCCTAATTTCTTCAGTCATTGTACTGAATTCTAGTCTCGGCACCAATGTTACAACTATTGTAACGACCGATCATCTGATTCAACACACTGCTCTTTATTGTTGTAGAACTTCAGAATACATCTTGCGCGTATTATGACGTAGTTAATTACATAATTTATAACAACTCGCAAGGAATACCACCGAAAAGTTTTTGAGTTGTTGGAACTTTTAGGTACGAGGTTTTACTTAAAAGGACTTCTTGATCTTAAAATTGGCTTCATTCACACCTTCCAAGGAACCTAGCCTGGGTAATTAATTCTCTCAAAATTGTTATAACGCTTCCGCGATGCCGAATCCGAAACGTAAATAGACGGAAATAAAGGTGGTTTATTTTAACATCACAAAAAAATTCGCAAGTGTTGCTTGAAATGTAAATAATAAAGCTATTGCAGTGTAAACAAACGAAAAATTCCCAAAAGTTATTGGGAAACTGATTCCCAATAGGAATATACGTCATAAAAATGTAGATGTCAATCTCTTTTGAGGTTGTCAGAAGGGCTAATCCAGAGGTTTTCTCTACACAGAAGTAAGATATTGTACATAAACTGAGTTCGGAATCAATGAAGAAGTTCTCCTCGCCGTTTAACGAACAAAACACCACATCCGATTTCTTAGCATAAGTAAACCTTTTTACACCAAAGTGTTAGAAAAACTGAAATTAGTCTTTTTGTTAAAACTGTTCAGGCAATCCTTTTAATTAACCTTCTTGCCGCTTGACGGAAGTCGTTTCTAAAAAAGGAGTAGATGATCGGGTTGACAGAGGATTGGCAGAAAATGAAGAACAAAGACAGTTTCCTTAGCAGAGGACTAGCTAAATCGCTTCGACCGAAAAGGCTGCAAAAGTTGAAGAAAGCTCTTGGAAGCCAGGAAATAATAAATATTAAAACAATCAAAACGCAAGACATGGTTCCCTTTCTCCTCCGACTTATATTCCTGCGATTTCGCTCCCGTATACTTTTACTCACAGAATTCGTGTCGGAAATAGTAACGCGGTTTCCTTCCGAGAGCCCTCTCTCCGATGCATTCGTTAAAGTTAAAGATTCCACCATATCTGCATGAATCCGACTTCTGTGGCTTCTTATGGCTCTCATAAGCTTTATATTGACTAAGAATAATATTGGGATTGGTGAAAATGTAAATAATACTGATAATACTGCATTATACACTGTTTCATAGCGTTTCACCGCAGTCTCATCCATTGAATGTTGCCACGCATTTCTTACGGACGAAACAACAAGTGGTATAAACCAGACGAAAATGAGAATGGTAAAAACCTTACGTCTGGTCATCGTCGAGGCGTAATGCAAGGGTCTTAGTACGGCCGAATGTCGGTCGTATGTAATGGCGAGTAAGTTGAGCACTGTTGCGGGAAAGGCAATGTCCCGAGCGCCACCGAAAAACCAGCAATATTCGCTTAACTTGTAAGAGCAACCACTGCAAAACGCGGCAAACCCCGGGACTACTAACAACGCCATGGACATATCAGCAAAACTCAGACTCGTCAGATAGATATTCATGTAGTTATCCATCATGTGTGATGTGGACAAAAACACAGCTACGGTGAAACTATTACCGAGTAGGATGGCCAATCCAATCACACCATTTAAGATCCAAAAGATGAAATCCAGCTCGTAATAACAGGCGTTTTGGCTTTCGTAGGAATGTTCTAGAAATCGGATAGGAACGTCGGGTAAAAGAGAAAAATTTTCTGGAGATACTTCGGACGACGAATTATTCATTTGTGTTTTTTTTTAGATGACGGCGTTCGGCGATTTTTGCAGTCCTTGTACTACCAACGTGTTACTTCAGCCTACAGAACCTCGGTTCCTTTTTGAGCGATCACATCAGCGTCGAAGCGCTCTAACCCACGTCCAACAAGACGCAAAGTTTATAAATCTGAGAAAATATTGCCCACAAGTGGCGCGAGGATTTGAGTGACACAAAGTGATATTCCAGAAATCAAATCCAGGACGCCTCTCTCTCTGATTATTATCTTCTTGACTGTACAGTAAGTGTGATGCTACAAAATTATTCCTCTCGAGCAGATGCCCCTTTGTTAATAAACCTATGCGCAGCTGCTCTTTTTGTCTAAGGGGCTTCGGCCAACGTCAAAGGCAGGACATTGTTAAGTCTCAGATGCTACAGCTGGTAAACAAACAGGCAACGATGACAAGACTTTGAAGTCGCGTATTTTTGCTTTAGCTTGGAGTTTTAACTGAGTTCGACCCAAAGTTAATTCAAAAACCAAAGATAAATTTCAATTAAATACAGTATTTGCCGAAGGAAAGGATGTTTGTTTTGTGCAAACAAAAAGATAATATGCTCTGATCGTCAAAGTATATTCTCGTCTGGTGAAGCCAGAATTCTAATACCTTCACCGAGCACGAGTCAAATGGATTTTTTCCTATCAGTGAAATAGGACATAAATATTATTTGAAAACATCAAGATCGTATTTGTCTAAAAATCCGGTTGAAAATACAGCACCTAATTAACAGTGAGAAGTCTTCCTTTCGAGGTTCGTTCACGACCAGGCTATCAGCCGTTTGAAAATGTCGCTTTGGCTTTGGGGCAAAAGGATACAGTCAATTTTGGTGATCTTATTTCCATGTTTTAAAGGTGTCAAAATGCTCGCACGTATACAAGTATATTAGTTAAAAAGATTTAAGATGGACAAAACGAACGCGTTCTAAAATAAGTGGATTGAATAACGTCAGTTATGCATTAGCACTAGATAAGTTATGGGCGGGAGATCCGTATGGGTGTTAACAATGGCGAGCAAAAGGCAAGCCATCGTAGCCTGCAGTGCAGGCGTTTTCTTCGGGTGCGCGAAAATGAGAAACACCCTCAAATGATACACTGCAAAACAGTCGGTTTTTTTTCTCAAAATCAGTAAAGAAATCGGTAAAGCGTGGCGTAAGAGTCCTACGCGCGCAAAGCGCTCGTAGGGCGTGTGAAACAAGAGAAAAAAAACCGTCTCTCTTAGCGTCTCTCCCCAGTCTCACTCTATGTTTTCAGCCTCGTTCCAGACCTTTTGTTTAACTGCTCACGCGTACTTGAATACGCAAAAATACGGACTGTTTTGCAGCAGACTGGTTTTGCAGTCTACCTAATTGACCACTCCAGAAAATACCATAACATACCATAACGCTCTTTGTTTGTCACCCTAATATTTTGCGTAAGCATTGTCTTCTGTTTCTCTTGGGTGTTAAAATGGCCCCAAAAGAAACTGAAAACAATGCAAAATTTTGGGGTGACAAACAAAGAGCATTATGGTATGTTATGGTATTTTCTGGAGTGGTCAATTAGTCGCGCTTGGCCGCTGTTCCGGAAATGTGTAGCCAACCAATCAACACCGAAGAACTATTGCACCGGAATCTCCCTTCGCTTCTGATAAAATAAAAATAAACACATCTGTAGTGCACATTGCAAGCTGCTAGTTGTTTACAGGAAGGAGAGTGATGTCGTCTGATTCGAGTGTCAGTGATTATTGTAGGTTATGTGCGATTTCGTCTAAAGTTAAACTTGGAAGCAATCTTGGAAAGCAAGGCCATTCTTCTTCAGAAAATCAGTTCAGGCCATCAAAACGAAAGGAGTGCTTTAGGGTTTTGTCAGCCGAAATTTGTAAAGAAGTTGGATTGCCGTTTGTTCATTCCATGCAGTATCATATATCGAGCTTAGGCTACCTGTGATACAACATTGCAGGAAAACATCTCATTCACAGACTAGGAGAAAATCGCTACGTTATCCAGATCCTGAGACACTTTGAACAAACATAAAGAACCTAAAAGCCTTATTGAGCCACAATAAAGAGCTTTACGCTTCGAAAGAGGTCAAACAAAATGCTCTTGCATAAGAGGGCAAATCACTGCTGAAATCATGCCGACCAGAAATTCAAAAACCACAGAAAATCAATAAGCGTGTCATGACCTCTCAGTGTGAAACAAGCGGCTAAAAAGTGGTGCACTGCAAGAAAATCTTGTCCTGACGCCAGCGTAGAAATCGCTTTGTCTTTCTCATTGCGTAATAAACGCGACATTCCCTGCTGCTCCAATTCCAAAAGACTTGTTTCGTTTCTGCGTCCGCCATTTCTGAATTCAGAATTCCCGCAGTTGCGTGAAAACGAAAACGGAATAAACAATATAGACTTACAGTTGATTGACAGGCATCAATCCACTTCCCCTAAGCCACACCAATCAGGGCTCCGTTTGCCAGCGTACGGAGTTTCCCAAAAGAATAATGATATCGGGCAGGCGTATTTTTTCTTCCCTCCTCCTCCCCCCTTTCCTTCTTTCGCCCTTCACCTACCCTAAGGGTTACTATTTTCACTCTCCCTAATCTTCCTCCGTCATGACATCAAAGATGGCGGTTACAACAGTACGAACATAAACAAGCAGCTTTCGCCCGCCCAAAATACGCCTGCACTGCAGGCAAGTGTAAACGCCGTACAGATCGGAAATAATGTTTGTAATTGTGAGATGAAGCAAACCTTATCTGTATCAAAAACGCGAGTATTTACTGTCTAAACACACAGCAAGTTACTCATTACTGATTGGTGAGTTGACCCACTAGACAACCACCATTGATCTGGATGCATACCAGTGCCGGATCTAGACCTTGAAATAAGGCGGAAGGGGGGGGGGGGGGGAAATCCAGACCCAGGGATAAGGGGGGGGGGGCCGGTCTCCGGCTTTTCGCGCCCCCGGTTAATCTAAAAAAAAAGAGGGGGGCGCCCCCCCCCCGGCCCCCCCCCTGGATCCGCCCCCACACACCTCAACAGAATTAAACATCATGTGGGTGTGGGGAGTAACCCCACGACCACCCCCGTTTGGTTGGGGGGGAACCCGGGGGGGGGCTTAAACCTGTGAAAAGGGGGGAGGGGGGGGGGGGGGTGGAAATCCAGACCCAGAGATAAGGAGGAGGGGTCCGGTCTCCGGCTTTTCGCGCCTCAGTTTAATCTAAAAATAAAGAGGGGGGCGCCTCCCCCCGGGACCCTCTCCTGGATCCGCCACTACATACCTAACATGAATTAACTATCCGTTTCTTCACTATATTAATCAAAATAGCAACAAACGGAAAAAAAACTCTAGTCCACCCCAAAAGAGGCCGCCAAATACAAATACAAATTAGACCTTCACAAGGTCCCATCTTGACGCGATGAGGCGACAGTATTGTATGCAAAGAAAATCAAGACGGCTAAATATCAGGGCCAGCGACAAATGTAAACCACATGGAAGAATAGCCCTTAACAAAAAAAATACGTAAGACAATAATCTGATCGCCCAAAATTCACTGAACTCAAGCAGTATACTGTATACCTCCACAAAATCCAAAAGAAATCACTACTTGGAACTTTCTCTGTTGAATGTGCCAAGAAAAAGATGATACTAATGAGTGATTGCAGTACATTAGCCCAAAAGGAGAAAGAACGGAGTGTACTAGAGCCCTTCAAGGGATTGTACGTCTCCGAAAGGGGGTACAATACAGCAGTAAGTGGTATGAACCTTCCCCATGGACCATCAATTTGAGACAAGTGGAGTGCTTTAGGTAGAAAAGAAGTAGGAAGAGAGAGTTGAGAAATACCGTAGATATAAGCAGATTTGGCTTTTGAAATCAATACCTTGGGGTATTTTAAGACATTCGTATCTTTTCTACCTATTTTCGATGCTCTGATTACATGCGCAGGGACCGCAAATCTCTCTTCCTTCTGGACTAGCTGTGTAGGATGAATTCAGTAACCCCAGTGGCAGTCGGACCATTAGAACAACAGATTACTTTGAGCGGCCCGGATCTAGACTACGAGTAGTCTCCATTTTTCCTCAGGGATAGTAGAGCGAGCGTAACGAGAGCGCGCGTGAAAATCACACCACGCAAGAAAGTCGAGACGCGGCGGCGGGGAGACAGAAAAATGAGGGACTACAGACAAAGATGTCTGTAGTCCCTCATTTTTGTCTCTGTCTCCCTGCCTCAGCAAGGTATATGGAGGTGAATAATGTGAGTAATCAAAAGCAAAGTAGTGCCTCTGAACAAATTTCTATGTTTTTTTTTTGAAAAGTCGCATCACAGTATTTCATCCAAGGCGAAGTTCTATACTTAGAACTGCATTTCACGTGGCTTACTGTGGAAGTGAGCAGGGTTATGTTCCCATTGAACAGCAATTTCTGAACTAGAAATGTGATATTTTTTAACGGTGCCGATTGTTGGAGAACCCAAACTCTGGAATAATGGGGCAAAATAGATTCTAACTGCGAGGCATTTTGTATTAACTCCGCAGGACGTTTGGCAGAGGCTACTGAGGCAGAAAGGTTTCCAAGACTTTTATTTGAAACAATAATAACCAGCACTGATGACAATTTAGTAAGGGATGCTGCTATTAACCAATCACTAACATATATACAGATAATCGGGGTGGAAAAGGAAACCCAAGCAATGCATGAAAAGTTGGTGACCGGTTATAGATTAGATTGCCAACTTCGTATCGAAGAGGATGATTTTAAGGGCTCACAATTTTACTCACGTGTAGCATCCTATGGTGAATTTGGCAAATTCTTGTGTTTTTTATTGGGGTTGTTATTGTTATGCTTTTAGGGAATTTTTTTTTGTTTGTTTTTTTTCTTTTTACTATTTTTCATTTGATTTCCTCTATTTTCAGCAAGAACCATACTCTTACTACCATAATGAGTGGCAAATGTAAGCTTAATGTTCCTTTTTAATATCTCTCCTCACATTTTAAAGTTAATGTCAATTGAACTCCAAGCCTTTTAAGCAGGTACAAACTATAAAACTTAAACGTTGCTTGGAGGTCAATTAATATTAAGATAAAAGAATAAATATCAATAACTGAGACTGAAGCCGCTGATTAGCCAGTAAGAATAAGCGATTACTTAACAGCACTATTAATACTCTCCATTTTTCTTCGAATCATACCTTTTCAAGTTATCCCATAAGTAATTTTCTGTTTGCTGTAATGTCGATCTAATGGGTTTTTTACTCCCACGTTGTTCACTCCATGGGCACACATCAGTTCACATATCCCCCCGGGGTTTCTTTACTAAATGTCAATGTTAACTAAGTACGTGACGATAATATCACTCATTATTCCATGATAAGACCGTTTAAACTTAATATATAGCCTATAAAGTCTTTTTACCTCGATTCTATTTCTAATTACATATAACCATTTTTTGTTCGCACAACCGCCGATAATCCTATTACACCCAGTCATAACTTATTTTCAGCTGATACCGATTTTTAATCAACCATCTGGCTCAGGTTTGTAACTTCAAACATTTTAGGGGCTTCTTTCTTCGGGCCAAAGTTAACGGTTTTCGTCACTAAATGCAAAGCTCACTCAATATTTTCACATCACAATCAAGTTTTCCCTACGGTTTTCTCCGGGCGGATGTCATCAGTTATCGATACAGTACCTCTGTAATAATTATTATCATTCACTCGTCCATGCTTCTTTGAAGATATGCTTATTAGCACAAAAGTGTATTTTAATATCCTGTTAATAGGATCAACTCGATTATCTTCAAAACATCCTCGAAGGAAGAAATTTACAAAATACAAAAATTATCCTGGGTGTCTTCACAAACAAGTGCGCTGTTCAAGTTTCATTTATTTTTTATTTTTATATTGAAATAGTATACAAAGATATCTTGGATATAAAACTTCATGACATTTATTCTCCTTCCTTCTGTCTTCACCTGCCTTCTGTCTTCTGTCTTCACAAACAAGTGCGCTGTTCAAGTTTCATTTATTTTTTATTTTTATATTGAAACAGTATACAAAGATATCTTGGATATAAAACTTCATGATATTTATTCTCCTTTTCTGTGTAGTTTTTTCAGTTTTCACAAAAAACAGCAAAATATTTCGTTTTCCTTCACTTTAATTAGTTGATAAAGCGAATTTTAATTTAAACTTGGCCTAGACATAATAACGTCGGTCATAAACAGGATATTCTACATGCACGACGTTATTCATTAAATATCAAAACCGTTAATACGGTGATTAACCACATAAAAAAATCACTCAACGCCAGAGTTCGATAATTCTTTTCCATTGCGGAACAAATTTATTTTAAAGTATAAAATTGTGATAAAATCGCGTACTACATTTCAAACTAAAAAAATTTGCACTAACTTTGCATTTGCGCTAAATTTTTATCTCAGACAGCTGGGCTAAATGCACTGAATTTATAATCAATGCTGGTTCTAAACTTGAGTTTTGTACACTAGCATTATCGTCATTCTTATTAAACTTCAAGGAAATCCTAAGTTTCGATGGAACCGTTCGTAGAAGAAGTTTCTTAGCCGCTTGACGAAAGTCTTTTCGGTAAAAAGAATACAGCAAGGGGTTAATAGACGACTGAAAAAATAGGAACACGAGCGAAATTTTTTCTAGAAGTTTGAGCCCTTTGAGGTGGTTAATGCCAACTAGTAACACGAAATTCAGCAAAGACCGAGGAAACCAGCTAACAAGAAATACCAAGACCACTATCAAGCATGATATGGTCTTCGCGCGGTTTTCTTTCGGTCTAATATCTTCCACAGCAGCTCGCGCTCTATGGGATGCAACTCGTCCAAGCTGTTTCTTGATGGCCTTCATAATAGAAACGTTTGCAATTACTAGAACAGCCATTGGAACGATAATCAGACATATCACCAATGCTACGTCAAAGACGGATTCGCTTTGGGAACCGTCTCTTAGAAAATCCACATCTGCAGCGTTCAGAACAGGTTTTATGAAGGAAAATGGCAAAGGCAACAACCATGCCATGGTTAAAATTCTCACAACGGTTTGCGCAGTCATTTTACTGTAATACCGAAGGGGCTGATTAACTGCCAGGTATCTGTCATAGGTGATGGAAAGTACGCTAAAGATAGACGCTAGCCAAATGTAGTCCTTTACTCCGTCTAGGATTTGACAAGTTTGCTCCATATTCAAAACGTTAAAAACGTACTCTTTTGAGCAGCTTGTACAGAACACGCAATGTCCAGGGATTATCAACAGGGCAGCTAAGACATCGGCCACTCCGAGGCTCACCAGAAAGATGTTCATATAGCAGTTGCGAAACTGAGAGGTGTTTAAAAAGACAGTACAACAGAATATGTTTCCAATGAACATGGCGAAGCCAAGAACGATGTACACCACTAAAAATGCGTCATCCAGAATTTTACTGCATAGATACACAGTAGGGGTGTCCTCGTGTTGAGAAGACGAGTTTCCTTTCTCAAAACTCATGATTTGCGATAAGTAGCACTGACTAAAACGTTGTACCACATATGACTAACTTTTCTTTCTTCAACTTGCAAGGAAAACACAAGCCTTGTTAAGTTGAGTCTTAGAGTGATAGGGAAAACTCTGGAGCAAGTGACATCGACGCACAATGTTATATTTGTTTCTAAAAGAATACTAACTGATAATAAATAGATAGTCATTAATACATTAACACAACAATTCATATAACAGCCAATGACTTGAGGCAAAGTCAAAATTTGCATTCGGCTCAGTATCGTATTGTTTGACTCAAACATGTGATTTAATAACAAAGTTAGCTGACGTTAAAGATAAGGATTCGTGTAAATGAAGATCAGATTTCGCCTACAGCAGCCATCAACAATTTACGCTCATAATCTTCTTTTGAGTATATTCCGTGTACGACTGTTAACTAAAGGCATATATTGCCGTGAGCCATGCAAAAAAAAAAGAATATTGTGTAAAAAAAGACATCCAAACTGAACCCTTTTGTTAATGTCGATTAATGGGGTGGAATTTAATGATTTGGTAAATCAAAAAGTCCTTTACTTTGGTTAGAGACGAATTTTTATACCCCTTATGGTAATGTATTTCTTGATGCGTTACAATAATATAAAACAACTAAAGAGGGAGTCGAAAAACCTTTTACAGTTTTTACTGCTACGGCCAAAAATATACAAGAAATATACACAGCATAAAATACAACGAGTCTATAATATTGTACCAGTTTCATTTTGTTGAACGTGGTCTGAAAAGGATGCATTTCCGAGGTTAACTTCAGTCCTATTTTCATACTTTATCAGATACTGTTACTCGTCGTACTAGACATGTTATCTCGAGATGAAAATTATAAGGAACTTACGTTCTATTTAGAGTGAATTTTAGTACTAAAAGAAAATATTAAGAGAAAAAAAAGGCGGAAAGAAAATGAAGTCGAAATCTTTGCTTATTATCAACTTTCAGGCAAAATATCTGAAAAAAAAAACGTGACTTACAGTCTGACTAACACTCATTAAACAAACCGCATTTGACGCAGTACTTAATAAGCACGTGCAATAATTCTCACGACATTTGATTTCGACTTCAATCACAGTTATTTATTACTATAGTTTTTCGCTTAACTTCAGAATTTGATTAACGCGTTTTCATTGGACAATTAATTTTCATTGAAAGCTATTTAGTGTCCTCATCCAGGGATCCGTGGTCTACTTCTGTCTGCCTGTTGCATAAAGGTATTCTTAAAAATAAACCGCATTCTAATGACAGCCATTACGTGCTATATATTTCGTGCACTTCTCTGAAACTATTAATGTCGTCCTTGGCAACGAAAGACTAGAATGGAAAAGGGCTCGACCTGAAAACATCAGCGGAATTTACAACTTCTTCTACTGTGTCTTTAGATAACCTGACAATAAAAATGGCCGTAGTTTGTTCCCCCTGAGAGTTAAATTTTACGATGCCATGCTTTTAAGTTTAAACCTAATACTGGACGCGACTAAGCTAATTGTTATACATTAAAGTCACAATCTTTCTTCTCATTGGCTAATAGCCTACAATGAAATTTGGAAATCAGTTCAACCTAAAGATTACAGTTATCATTCAGCAGACAACTTGACTATCTGAAGGTTTCGTGCGCAAAGCACGAATGCATGATTTGATTTTCCAAGGGCAATGTCAAACTGTGTTCAATGCGACGGTGCATTTGTCGTTATTTTTGTAAAAAGAAATGTATAATAAAACAATTATAAGATTAGGATTTTTGCGTTATCCTGGATAATCAAAGGTCTCGGTAAGTGTTATCAGCCTCTACTTTCGGCTGATAACGCTTACCTCGACTTTAATTGTTCCGAATTTCACGAAAAACCGAATCTTATAATCGTTTATTATTAAGACGCTAAGGAGATCGAGAATTATGACTTGAGTATCCTTCTTTGTGTTCATATACGTACAATAAAATAGTAGTAGTATCACGAACTTCAAAAGAATAGGCAATTTCACAATTATGATTTAGCTTGTTCCAGGCTCCGAGTGAGATAGTCGGGTCCGCGAAAATGAGAAAGTGCGAACACGAAAAAAAAGGGAGGAAACTGGGGAGAGGAAGGGCGGGCTCCCTTCCTTTTACCCGCCACCGCCCCTTAAACCGCCCCCACTTTTCCCGGATCACGCGCTTACATTTTCGCGTGCCCGTTACACTTACGCGTCATCCTTGCTATCTGAGAGCCTGGAACGGGCTAGTTTGTATTGGGTATCCTTACTTTGAGTGGTAGTGATGACCTTATTTGACGGAAACATTACTGCTTTTCAAATGCAAAATCTGAGGTCTCTATCATGACAAAGTTATCGCCAGCCTCGTTTCCACTCAGAGGCTAGGTTACTTGGCATACAAATGTAAACTGGGATATTTCTTTTAAGTAGCTTTCAGTATTTTCAATTCTAAGATCGAATTCACGAGGAAACTTAATTTGATACCGATTGCTACTACGGCTGATTTATAGGCAATGATTTATGGTTCGGACACAACATTTTGGACCAATCTGGGGAAAAAACTACTCATGTTGATTTAAGGGAAGGGTAGGAGGGGAGTTTTTCTCAATTTTATACAATCAGGCATATCAAAGTTAGGTAGTAGATAGCGTATTTTCACATGACGTCACGTCCGCCATATTGGAGTTCCAAAACAATGAACGGCGGCCATTTAGGAATTCCAAACCAATCTTGTGGGAGTTAAGATGAACTCTTTTCTAATGCAAGCGCTTTCTGTTGTTCCAATAAATTTGCATAGATGCTGGCCATGTGAGTGAAAACGCTCTATATAAACCTGATAGCCAGCATGCGCACAGGGATCCCCACGCTACCGGTGACAAATACTCGAACTAAGCTAACTCTAACTATATTTTCTACATATGGTTGACGTAAAGAGCTTGCAATTCTTAGAAGTGGCCTTATTATTTAAGTTAACATCTAAACGCGTTTTAAATCAGAATTTCAACAAATCGCAAGTTTTGTGGTTAGTTATTACTTCCGCGCAAAATTTTGTTAGGAGCTGTGCGCGCGCGTTTGACCGTTGCGAAGTTGCGGTATAAATACAAACAGAAACCATAGCAATAACGATCAAAACAAAAACTAAAAACTAAGGCGGAGAAGGAAATTTGTAAGACCATACTTAAAAACAGCACTTTTGCTAAGATTACACTAACATTAAACTAAACTGAATGTCGATTGGTAGCTTATGTAGACACTTTTCAGTGAATCGATGTTTATAAAGAAATAAATGGAAAAATAAAGGCTTTTCCTCGCGCGCTCCACATCGTGCAGCAAAAAGAGCAAAGAAAGATTCTTAAAAAAATAAATTCCCTACCTTCCTTGAAAGTGAATATTGAAACGGGCGTGGTTCTTGGCATCGTTACAAGACCTTATTAAAAAAGTTTGCGTTTTTTCCAAACGAATCTTTTTCCTTTCTAACCCGACGTGACCGCGCTTGTCGCGACGTAGAAGGAAGTAAAACATTTGACGTCAAAAAGGAACATCGGAACGATCGCTGAATGCGCGCTCGTGATTCGAGGTCGATAGAAGTTTAATTTCGCCACAGTCAAACTATGACAGATGGTGCACAGGCAGGCTTGTGAAAGATTGACTGACGGGAAAATAATTTATCATTCTTCATAACTGGCAATCAATGTGACCAAATGCTTGTGAGTATACCGTGAAATTAGGTATCAATTCAATAAGATAGAAAAAAAGGCTCTTTTTTTAGAGGGGGTTGGTAGGGGGTGTGGGGGAGGGCCGGAGGGGTGCTGAGAGTATTCGTAAGTATGGTATTCGTGGCTCCCCATTGCTGAAAGGATAAAGTTCAAACTTCTTAACATTCTAAAGTCATATATATTTTATAATATTGCTTTCAAAAACTAGCTTTTGTAATCTTAAAAAAACTAGCTTTTGTAATTTTTATTTTTATTTTGTAATTGTATGAATATCACGTAAAGCACATAGAGCTGATGTATATGCTCTGAACAAATGTCTTATATTATTATTATTATTACCAATATTGTTATTTTTATATTATTATGCACTTATCAGCAACTATTTTGGGGGGTTGAACCTTGGGACCTCTCAGACATTTGCACAAGGATGTACACTAATCCCCCCACCCAACAAGCTACCATCACCCCTCCCCCTGGGGCAATAGTTAATTCAGATGAATTGAAGCCTCAAACCATAAAGTGCAATATTTCAAGGGACTTTCAAATTACAAGAAAATGCTCTTTTTGTTGTTCCATTTACAAAAAACTCTCTTTTATAGAGTAGTAAATTACAAAGGGTTGATTTAAAAAAAAGGAGTGCACCTGTATACTGCACATGATGAAGTTCAGGTTATTTTGCTTGTAATGGAATTGAAAAGGACAACATTTTTGTGGGATTCATAGTATATTTTTCCTTCTCTGCTAGGTGAATTCCAATTCTGCCACTGTTTTTTTCCTTGGGATCCTACTACAAAGGTGTCAAGGCAATCCAATACCCTGTCCCGGACTTCAGACTTCCCGGATGTCAACAAATCTTGCGCCATGCCAGTGTCCCTGGGGTCGACCCTCTGGGATGGTGGCTGATAACTGTGTTACTCTAAGGAATATCACTACAAGTCTGATACTTTAAACTGTACCTCTTGTAAGATGCTAGTTCTCTTTATGAAGACAGGAACCTGATCGGTATTATCAACGTGGGTTCCATAAGCACAGCAGACTTGCCAATCCCTAAAAGGCAAAAAATGTGAGAATATGAACCTAGAGCCTGGAAAAGTAGTGAGAAATGGTTCAAAAGTCATAAGATGTCCCAAATATCCTAGTGGAAGGACTTACACTGGGGGTTATGGGTATTGGAAGTCCCATATCACTTTAAAGCTGCAGCAGTAAACATCACGATCAATTTTATGATTTGAGTTTTTTAATTTCTGTTTGTTGACAGCTGTCTTGAAACAAGAGAAACAGTAA